CACTAGGCGCTGATGGCTTGATCATGAAACGTGAAAGCACTGTTTCATGCTGAGCGTGCACGAGTTGAGCACCAGTGACGCCCTTGCGTATCTGCTGATTCTCCCATTCGTGCATTTCGCGATCGGAATCTTCCTCGGTTACTAAAGTGAGAATTGAACAAAGATTTAATAAATTGTATGAAAGAACGAACGAACTACTACAGAAATGACGTGCTGTTGCCGTCTGGTCTTGGACACATTGTACTAGCTATCAGACTACTACATACAATCATTCTCAACGGCATAAAACTGTTCACGACGCTCTTCACGCTCTTTCCGACCCGTTATGTCGTTCATATCCATGCGCTCTTCATCGTCCGACTGATCGCCTTCGACATCTTCACGCGGCAATCGTGTGCTAAGCTTAGGCGCCTCTTTGGGTTCCTCAATGGGTATGTAGTCACCAGCACCTAAAAATTGGAATTTTTCATAAATGCTCCACATCAAGTAATGTTGTGCCTTTACCCTGCTCCCTAGCTCGCTGCCTGCGTTTTCGTGCCGCATGGATCATGGCAGCATCTGGTATGGAACCGCTTTCCAGCATTTGCTTTAAGTGCTCTGGTTTTGAGAAGCGATGCCGCGCTTTATCATGATTCCTATCATCCGTCTGTTCCTCGTCGCTCATATCGTCGCGACCAGCGCAGAGCGCGGCACGTCCATTTAAAAGAACATCAGGAGTTTCTGACTTCTTGACAACAAGCTGGTTTTGGAAGCAAGAGTGAAGCAAATATTATTGAATGAATTTGCAGGAAAATAAGAGCTTTACAATATATTTTGTATACAATCCGAGACAACTAAACTGAGCGATCAATTATCCCTTTATCGGGGCTAAATAAATTTTATTAAATTTAATGAAAACATTTGTTTCATCTCCCATTTATGGGGGCTAAAAAAATATCTCTGAATTTAAAGAAAACATTTGTATCGCTCGTGTTGATCTCGAAGTGTGTACTAGCTTTAGAAAGGAAACATGCATTAGTAAGTGCGAGAAAGTGGTTAATTGAAAACAAAGGTTAATTGTGCAATATAAATCTAAAATAAGCTCCAGCTTATTTGCAACAAATATTTAGATTCTGACAAGGATCTATCTTATGGCTGTAGCATTGTTTCTGGAGCAATTTTGTATTAATGTTGCCAATCTGTAGATGTGAATTTAAGCATTTTAAACAATCAAGCCAAAGACATATCCAAGATTATAAGTATTGCTTATTTTTTTGGTTTGTTTTTCCTATTGTGAATTAAACTGCTCCATATTCTTTTTATATATTTGTTTGGTACGTAAATCGTAAAAAATTGTTTGTTGTTTTTTGTAGGAAAATTGAATAATAATAACCTTACCACAAAGTCGTCTGTGCGTATTTCGGTTTGGATCATATCATTATCACACTTTTTACTTTTACTCTGTACTCTACTAGACAGATTGGCTGGACCAGCACCCGAAGCAGTGGCACTGGACGACTCTAAATGCTGGATAGTACTACCATTCTCGTAACCCGGGTGTCCGCTCAGTCCCGTGTGCTCCGCTCGCTCCTCGCGCTTCTTCTTGCGTCGTTCCTTGTCCATCATTCGCATGACTTTCTTGCTGTGCGAGGATTTGCGCACTTGAAACACCTCCCCATCGTCCTCTGCATAAATAGAGATCAATATCAAACGCTTCACATTATCATTCAAATAGAATCATTCACTCACCATCGTCAGCAAAACTTAGAAGTGCCTTAGGCTTGTGCTGGACAGTGCCTGCACCAGTTGTTGCTCCACTTTCATCGGGTTGTCGAATTGTTTTTTTACTTTTTGTATCTTTATCACGCTTTCCGGATACGGAAATTATAGGCGGAGGCGGTGGGGGCGTTTCCATACCCCCATCAATGTCCATAGCCGACGCATCATCGTCCTCGTCTGCGTTACTTGAGAATACGCGTCGCTGTATTTTCTTTGGTTTGCGAAAAAGCGACATTTGCTACACTTTTTTCTATTATGTTAATCGTAAATTACAGTATTTAACAATAACTAAAAGCCAAATTTAGGACACAAGACGTTTTCGCAATAAAATTCTTCTTCGATCTTATAGTCGATATAACCGACTCGATAACATGTGGCTTATCGAATATGGACAAGGGTTGCATTAAACAATATTACTCCACCATTAAACAGCATTTTGCTCTAGTCGAATGAGATCCATTTTATTTAGCGCAAAATTAACTCACATCTCACAGAAAACTTAATATGCTCTTAGATCACTGTACCTTTTCATATTTAATTGGAATTTTCTCAAATTTAACATAAAATAAATTTGCCAAAATTTAGATCATTTAAAATAAATGTTTTATTTGTACTCAAATGGTAGGCTGTTATTAAAATGTTAAGTTTTAAGAGCCTCATAGAAACGAACTATTTGAACGAACCAGGGGATAGTTCGGGATTCGGGATTCAGTTCGTAGGTTCAGTTCAGTAAGTCGTTCTAACGAACATATACAGTACGATTCGGTACTGTTTAGTTTCGCTGGCTTTTGTCACATAAACGAGTTGAATTATTTTGTACGTTAGCCTAATTTTAAACAATGGGTCTCAAAGGCTGTGAGGTGCAATTGGACAATCCATGGAACACTTACTACGCTGGACAAACTGTCAATGGCCAAGTCAAAATAACTTTTGACTCGCCTAAAAAAGTACGAGGTAAGAGATTGATTCAAATATATATATATTCCGGACCTGTATAATTGAGTTCGTATTACTCATAAAAGTGACGGCATCAACAGAGCAGCTAATGATAATCAATTCATATACTAGAGAACCAAATGCCTATTTGGTTTATAACACAGCTGGTTTTCTAATCTCCCATAACAAAAACTTTCTACTCATTCGCAAAAAGCCGGTCCCGTTAGTCATATATATGTAAATAAATAAGCGAACCAACCTCCCATGTCGTGGTTTTTGGGTGGGCCCTGTTTTCTTAATCGTATTTGCATACCATTCTGGACCTGGATACAAACTAAAAGCATAATACTGCCAATTTCGAAAGTCTACGTATTCAATTTGCCAAATTAATTTCTACAAAGATGAGCATTATATTTTTGAGGTCAACCTATTGGTACGCAACAGTGGAATGATGCTGTTTGCGATGATGTCATCGGTTTGGCAGTCATAGAGCGGGACAGAATCGCAGAGCTGAGCATTTGTCGCAGTAGCCAGTTATTTTTAGCATTTACGAGACACGCAGTCGAGGTGTGCGAGGTGTGGCACGAAAATAAATTGTATTCTTTACAAACACAAATAAATTCCCAACCACTTGTTCAACGCAGGCATTATTATACGTTTTTTGGGCGAAGCGAACACGGAGTGGACCGAGGAGCGTAACGTAACAACGAGTGAGGGCAAGACTGAGAACGAGACTACGCACCTGAAGGGACATGAGGAGTACTTCAAGATACAATACTACTTGCTTGGCGGCAAGAACAGTAAGTCGTGCTCTTTCATCTCGATTAAACAATTGTAAGGCTAACATTCTTTGTTTTATAGGCTCCGAAACCGAGCTGCCGCCGGGCACACACACTTATCCGTTTACTTGCGCCCTACCGCCAAATTTGCCTTCCTCATTTGAGGGTGAATTCGGTCATGTGCGTTATACGATCAAAGTTACCCTGGATAGGCCTTGGAAGTTTGATCAGGATATGAAAATGGCCTTTACTGTTATAGCGCCAGTTGACTTAAATCTCAATCCGCGTGTTAAGGAAACGTTTAAGCTTGAACTGGAAAAGTCATTCTGTTGCTTTTGCTGCCGCTCTGGTCCATTGTCCGTCATCACAAGCATACCACAAACTGGTTATGTTTCGGGTCAAATATTGCCCATAACCTGTGAGGTTGATAACACCAGCAATGTGAATCTCACCGCAGTTAAATTTGAATTGCGCAAACTTGTCACGTTCCATACGAACCAGCCGCGCAGTGAGAAACGCGAATCCAAAGTGATAATTGCCCAGCTGAGCATTGGACCCGTCAACGCCGGAGAATCTCATACATTTACACAGCAAATGGAAATACCTGCACTGCCTCCAACTAACTTACTCAATTGCGGCATAATTGCTCTAGACTATGATTTGCATGTGGAGTGCGATGTAAGCGGACCACATCGCAATCTCACCGGCAAAGTGCCAATTACCCTCGGCACAATACCGCTGGCTGCTTTAAAACCACAAACAGAGGATCCCTCTCTAGCACCCACACAACCGGTTAGTCCAGTTAGTCCACCCGGCGATGGTGGATTGGGTGGTGCCCTTGGCTGGAATGTGGCTGATAGTGCCGGCGGTGCACTTTACCCTAATATTCGTTAGTACAAATTTAATTCCCATGACTAAACAAGCGTACAACTAATAATTTTCTTTTTATTTTTGTAGCGCCACCACAGTTTGTGGAAACGGAATACCGTGCACCAATCATAAGCGGCCGTGATGATTCGGAACACACGCAAAGCATTGGAGACAACACCTTTGCTCCGCGCTATCCAACCTTTCAGTTCAAGAACGCGACAGCACCAGCAATAAGCCCTTAATTTAATTGTGGCACAACTATATTCCAAATGTGCTTCAAATTTGTTAATCTGTTCAATTTTTTATATTACGTTTTCTCCACTTCTCATTTATATGTAAGCTTTCCGTCCAAAAGAAAGCATAAAAATAATCGTCAGCCAAACGCATTATTAGTCAATTTGGAAATCTCAATTAAGCCGCTCAAAATATGTATGTATGTATATTTGTATTTGCGCGAGCGATAGTCGAAACTAAGAAGTGCTCGTGATAAAAAGTTTTTGATCGATATTAAACACCTCTATTATCATTTTTGTCTTTTTGTCTAATCATTAACAAGATTGAAGGTGAAGCAGGCCAATCCACATATATACTCAATGACACCTTTGATAGCATGAAATACCTGAAAATATCGAGTAAAAAGGGACGGTTGAATGGATATTTGTACTTGTCATATAAATATATATTTGTCCAAAAAGTTGGTAACAATCGGATGATAAAAACAAAAATCGGTTGTTTTGTTGCGTAGTGCAGAGTGGAGCAGCTTGAATCATTTGTTTTTATGAGCAATTATTTGTATAAATGTGCGTTTGCGTATGTTACCGAAATTTGGGGTAAATTATGTGCATGATTCTTCTCCGGTAGCTCGTCAACACATTTCCAAAACGTAGGAATAAATTTATAGGGCCTAAATAAAAAATATTTCTACTTTTATAAATGGGGAATGTTTAGTCTGTATATACTACACGATTTCTGCTCATATAGGTCTTTAAGACTGAACACTTGTTATCCGGAATCTTCTGGAGTCTGATTGGCCAATCTTTCGCATTCTTCTCTTAATTTTGCACCTGCTGCTTTTCGATCGGCTCGGCGCTCAGTGCCGTTTTTACTTTGTTTCTCTTCCCAAACATCCTGCTGTTGTGACTTTACATTATCAGAACTTTTAGTCGAAGCTTCCTTTGGAGCTTCACTATTCGCCTTCTCTTCCTTACACTTCTTTTCCTCGGCCAACCTCAGACACATTTCCCTTAGCTTTTTAAAATTAGCCATTTTTGCGCACTTTTCTTTAAAGGCCATATGTTCCTTTTTCAACTTTTCCTGCAAGGCCATTTTTTCGCATTCGGCTTTCTGCGCATTTTCTTTGCATTTCTTCTTCAGCTCGTTTTCATTGTTTTGCTCATCTTTCTTAGCCATTTTAGCGCATTGTTCTTTTTCGGACATTTCCTTGCATTTATTCGCCTGAGCATCCTTTTCTTTCTTTTCTTTTTCAAGTTTAGTTAACTTTTCACACTGTTCCTTTTGGGCCATTTCCTTGCATTTATTCGCCTGACCCTCCTTTTCTTTCTTTTCTTTTTCAAGCTTAGCTAATTTAGCACATTGTTCCTTTTCGGCCATTTCTTTGCATTGATTCGCCTCAGCTTCCTTTTCTTTCTTTTCTTTTTCAAGCTTAGCTGATTTAGCACATTTTTCTTTTTCGGCCATTTCCTTGCATTTTTTCGCCTCAGCTTCCTTTTCTTTCTTTTCTTTTTCAAGCTTAGCTGATTTAGCACATTTTTCTTTTTCGGCCATTTCCTTGCATTTTTTCGCCTCAGCTTCCTTAGCTTCCTTTTCTTTCTTTTCTTTTTCAAGCTTAGCGCATTTTGCTTTTTCGGCCATTTCCTTGCATTTTTTCGCCTCAGCTTCCTGAGCTTCCTTTTCTTTCTTTTCTTTTTCAAGCTTGGCTAATCTAGCACATTTTTCTTTTTCGGCCATTTCTTTGCATTTTTTCGCCTCAGCTTCCTTAGCTTCTTTCTCTTTCTTTTCTTGTTCAAGCTTAGCTAATTTAGCACATTTTTCTTTTTCGGCCATTTCCTTGCATTTTTTCGCCTCAGCTTCCTTAGCTTCCTTCTCTTTCTTTTCTTGTTCAAGCTTAGCTAATTTAGCGCATTTTTCTTTTTCGGCCATTTCCTTGCATTTTTTCGCCTCAGCTTCCTGAGCTTCCTTTTCTTTCTTTTCTTGTTCAAGCTTAGCTAATTTAGCACATTTTTCTTTTTCGGCCATTTCCTTGCATTTTTTCGCCTCAGCTTCCTTAGCTTCCTTCTCTTTCTTTTCTTGTTCAAGCTTAGCTAATTTAGCGCATTTTTCTTTTTCGGCCATTTCCTTGCATTTTTTCGCCTCAGCTTCCTGAGCTTCCTTTTCTTTCTTTTCTTGTTCAAGCTTAGCTAATTTAGCACATTTTTCTTTTTCGGCCATTTCCTTGCATTTTTTCGCCTCGGCTTCCTTAGCTTCCTTTTCTTTCTTTTCTTTTTCAAGCTGAGCTAATTTAGCACATTTTTCTTTTTCGGCCATTTCCTTGCATTTTTTCGCCTCGGCTTCCTTAGCTTCCTTCTCTTTCTTTTCTTTTTCAAGCTTAGCTAATTTAGCGCATTTTTCTTTTTCAGACATTTTCTTGCAATGTTCTTTCAGTTCTTCAAGTTTTGCCATTACCATGCTTTGTTTTTTAGCATCGGACTGTTCCTCTTGAGCAAAAGCTTTGCACATTTTAGCTAGCTGTTCTTTTTCCTTCTTTTCTTTTTCTTGGTTAGCTAATTTAGCGCATTTTTCCTTTGCGGCCATTTCCTTGCATTTATTCGCCTGGCCTTCGTTTTCCTTGTTTTCATTTTCTTGCTCATCTAACTTATCGCATTTTAATTTTAAAGAAATTTCCATGCACCGCTTTCTAAGATCCTCTTGGCTTAAACAGCTTTTGTTATTCGTTGGCGAATTTTTCGGCTTATCAATCAATTTTTGGCACTGAATCTTCAGTTCTTCAAGCTTTTCCATTATCTGACATTGCTTTTTAAACTCGTCTTTCTCCATCGTCAATTTAGCCTCATCATCGCTCTGTTCTTTTTCGGCGGGTTTTTTCTGGCTTTCTTTTCCTGATTTTTCTTTTTTAGCTGATTTAGCGCATTTTTCTTTTTCGGCCATTTCCTTGCATTTATTCGCCTCAGCTTCCTTAGCTTCCTTTTCTTTCTTTTCTTTTTCAAGCTTAGCTAATTTAGCACATTTTTCTTTTTCGGCCATTTCCTTGCATTTTTTCGCCTCAGCTTCCTTAGCTTCCTTTTCTTTCTTTTCTTTTTCAAGCTTAGCTAATTTAGCACATTTTTCTTTTTCGGCCATTTCCTTGCATTTTTTCGCCTCAGCTTCCTTAGCTTCCTTTTCTTTCTTTTCTTTTTCAAGCTTAGCTAATTTAGCACATTTTTCTTTTTCGGCCATTTCCTTGCATTTTTTCGCCTCAGCTTCCTTAGCTTCCTTTTCTTTCTTTTCTTTTTCAAGCTTAGCTAATTTAGCACATTTTTCTTTTTCGGCCATTTCCTTGCATTTTTTCGCCTCAGCTTCCTTAGCTTCCTTTTCTTTCTTTTCTTTTTCAAGCTTAGCGCATTTTGCTTTTTCGGCCATTTCCTTGCATTTATTCGCCTCAGCTTCCTTAGCTTCCTTTTCTTTCTTTTCTTTTTCAAGCTGAGCTAATTTAGCACATTTTTCTTTTTCGGCCATTTCCTTGCATTCTTTCGCCTCAGCTTCCTTAGCTTCCTTTTCTTTCTTTTCTTTTTCAAGCTTAGCGCATTTTGCTTTTTCGGCCATTTCCTTGCATTTATTCGCCTCAGCTTCCTTAGCTTCCTTTTCTTTCTTTTCTTTTTCAAGCTGAGCTAATTTAGCACATTTTTCTTTTTCGGCCATTTCCTTGCATTTTTTCGCCGCAGCTTCCTTAGCTTCCTTTTCTTTCTTTTCTTTTTCAAGCTTAGCTGATTTAGCGCATTTTTCTTTTTCGGCCATTTCCTTGCATTTATTCGCCTGAGCTTCCTTTTCCTTCTTTTCTTTTTCAAGCTGAGCTAATTTAGCACAATTTGCTTTTTCGGACATTTCTTTGCATTTACCCGCCTGACCTTTTTCTTTATTTTCTTTTTCTTGCTTAGCTAATTTAGCGCATTGTTCTTTTTCGGCCATTTCTTTGCATTTATTCGCCTGGCCTTCCTTTTCCTTTCCTGTTTCTTTCTTAGCTGATTTAGCGCATTTTTCTTTTTCGGCCATTTCTTTGCATTTATTCGCCTGAGCTTCCTTTTCTTTATTTTCTTTTTCTTGCTTAGCTAATTTAGCACAATTTGCTTTTTCGGACATTTCTTTACATTTACTCGCCTGACCTTTTTCTTTTTCCTGCTTAGCTAATTTAGCACATTTTTCTTTTTCGGCCATTTCCTTGCATTTCTTGTCTTCTCCGTCAGCCGTGCTTTGGTTCTCAGTATTTTCTGCGTCTTCGGCAGTTTTCTCATTTTCGTCGTTACCTTTCGCCTTTTCTGCCAATACTCTGCACTGTTCCTTGAGCTCTTCAAGCTTTTCTAATATCTTACACTGCCTTTCGAACTGTTCTTTCTCCATCCTCAACTGGTTTAACTTGGCTGATTCGTCGCAATTTTCTTTTTCGGCCGGCGCCTGACTTGGCTCTTCCTTCTGTTCGTTCTTCTTGGCAACATTCTTACCATTTTCTTCAAGCTGCTCTTTTTTATTAGCTTTTGGATTGCTTTTCTGCTTTGAATTACTTTTGCCTTTCTCTGGCTTGGCTTTCTCCTCTTCGGCCGATTTTTTCGATTGCTTTTGTTTTTCCAGCTTAGCACACATTTCTTTCTGGGCCATTTCCTTGGATAGTTTTTTCAGCTTCTGTTGCTGCTTTTTGTGCTTTTCCAACATCGCCGCTTTATCCACCTTTCGTATTTTACATTTCTTTGGTTCCTGAAGCTGTTCGTCTTCCAGCTGCTTAAGCTCCTCGTCCGCCAATTTATAGCTCTCCTGCTGCTGATATAAATCTGTGCATAGCTCACCGAGTGCGGTTGCTTCATTGTTCAGTTTTTCTAGCTCGGCCAGTTTGTTCGGGTGCTCCTGTTTGCCCAGTTTTTCGCATTGAGATCTCAGCTGTTCGAGCTCTTCAAGCAGTTGACACTTTTCCTGTTCAGCTAATTCCTGGCATGTTTGTGAAATTTGCCTTTTATCGCCCTCTTTTAAATTGTCGCCGCCAAACTCTTGGACCACCAAGCGCTGGCAGGCAAGCTTAAATTTCCTAGCCAATATCTTGCATTGCGTTTTCAGCTTATTTTTCTGATTGGGACTTAGCCGATTCTCGTCTGACGATATCTTATTGTGTCGGCGAATGCTGATTTTCATTTTCGCAGAATGTGCGTCTGTGTTGGTACATCCGAATGAACTTTAATTGAATTGCACAATTTATTCAAAATACTTACAGGGCTTCTTTTTCCTGTCGTTATTCTGGCCTATTGACATATTACGCGTTGTCATTTGCCAGTTTTCGATAATTGGCGCCAGGCCATTATATAGTAAGGAACTAAAGTTTAACGTAATCACGGGCTGCATGCACGAATTGCAGGCCCTTATGCACGCACCTCGTGTAAACATATTCGCGCCGTGCTATTAAATTTACTAACGAAATTTGTTTTTTACGAAAAATTTTAAGGTCTGGCCCAGAAAAAAATCAAACTGAAAATGTTCTCTGCACAACAGAAGATCAACTTTTGGATGACAATTTTGAATTGACAAACATTGCCCAGCTTGCCGTACGTATCCAAAATTGTATCGAGCAACTAACGTTAACATATTATATTACTCCAAATTGTCCCGAAAAGACATCATTTTCGAGCTGTACTATCTTTTTTTTAACAATTTATTTATTCCTTGGGAATCGAAAGGTAAACAAAACTCCAGAAGCGAGCATTCATCTAATACCAACGTATTCTAATTCCCCCAATTGGATTAATCACTAGACAGCTCTCATCTCTATGAACTATTTACTCCAATTAGAAGCCGTTGATCAAGAGCAGCTCTGAATGAAAGAAGGCAAGATAGTGTTGCGAAGCGCGGTTTTTATTACTGATGCAAGTTTTTCATTATGATTATATGGATACATTTTTGTTTCTCATTTCCAGATTAGCCGCTCTCTATAGACACTATTATTTAGGGTATTAGCTCGTTTTGGAGTCTTTCCGGATTGGTTCTATTATCAACTACGTCTCAGCTGGACAAGTGCTGAATCCGAATTGGACTTCCGATCGATAAGTTTCAAGAGTATTGACTTGGGCACCACAGGAAACATACATATATCCAGCTAATACCAATTTTTTCAATACTGAAAGGGTTTCCCTACTTTTGCAACCTCTTTTCCTTTCTCCCTCTCAGCTCCCAAAGCCTCTCTCACTAAATATTATTTTACTGATAGTGATTGTAAGCTATAATAAAATCTCTTTTTTTTGTTTTCTATATTTAAATATGTGTTGAAGCAATCTATACTCGGATTCTTGACGTCAAGCGGGCACGACCTTAGCAAATCAAGCATTCCGTTCGAAAAATTCCACTATGAATTCTCAGTTATCTGCACAATTAGCCGTGAGTAATATTCGGGGTGAACATTATGCCCCCCATAGGCAAAGCGAGAGAGAATGTACTTAAAAGCGAAATTAAATGGATTTAACTTTATACTTTTTATTTTTCTTCACAAATATCTAAAATTTGATAAACGTGAAATTTGTCCCACAAAGTTATGTATTGCTTAGCGTATTGAACTCTTCCAGGCCTGATTCCAATTGTTGAGCAGTTTTAAATTCGTTATCTTAGTGTTTCCTTTCGGTTCTGGAAATAAATAATACTGTGACCAAATAAGTTAGTAAATTGTTATTGACTTACAAATAACCCAAGGCCTATTTATAGCGTATTATCAACTACAACAAGTATATAATATACATCAAATTGCTGTCATTCTCCTCAATGTGACATTGAATGCCTAATAAATTGGTTTTTAATCTGATAATCTGTTTTGCTGCGAGCCACCAGCTGGCGCTAATAACGATCTCTATCATTTTACATGACAGGCAAAAACAGATTGGTTTATATGATTCTGCTGGCAACCACCAGGTGGCGCTAATAACGACCTATCATTTTATATGACAGGCAAAAACAGATTTGTTCATATGTTTTTGCTAGGAACCACCAGGTGGCGCTAATTGCCATCTACCATTTTATATGACAGGCAAAATCAGATTTGTTATATTAATATATAATTACCTAAGTTTTGAAATAATTGTCGAGCCAATGCGCTGAAGCTCCGCTTGCCACATTCCCCGTCGTCGTCGGTTTCATTCTCTTCTTTCAATTTCTCCGAGCATTTTTTGGATCCACCTTTGATCACAATTTCGCTTTCATCCTTTTTGTTTTTGAGCTTTGCTCGCAGGCTTTTGTCCACGCATTTGTACGGAGTGCCACCAAGAATTTTTGTACTATTTGTGTCATCGGTAAAATTAACCAAATTCTCCACTGATTTTGTTATTGGCGCACTTAAAATGACACAATCATTTAGGGTTGGGTCCAGTGTCTGTTTCTGGTCTGATATGCCAGGCATGCAGACTGAGTGGGGCAGGATCAGCTGCCTTGAACAAGACACGTCATCGAAACGCTGACGTGAGTCCTTGTCATTTTCACCATCTCTATACTCATGGGATTTACTTCTTCGCTCCTTAAGTATGGCTTCTTTACCTAGCTGCCGTTTTGCCAGATCCGGCGAAATAAAAGTTTCTTCTGTCTTTTTACTAACAGTTGGTCTTAAAGATTTTTTGCTACGATTATCTAGCCATGAGTTTCGGCTATGAACCGCGGAGTAGGTGGTGATGTTTCTGCGACCGCTTTCATTATTGTTTTTCCGTTTGCCCATAAACATTTCATAGAGATATTGGGAGATCGTCAACTTTGGCTTTGGTGTTTGTTGGCCAGAGACATCTAGTTCATTGACATCTAAATTAGCGAGATCTGGCTTAGCGGCATCTAATTTAGCGGCATCTAATATAGCGGCATCTCGCTTATCGACATCCAGTTTAGCGACATCTCGCTTATCGACATCTAATTTAGCGGCATCTAATTTAGCGATATCTCGCTTATCGACATCTCGCTTATCGACATCTAGTTTATCGACACCTAGTTTATCGAAACCTAGCTTATCGACATCTAGTTTTTCGATATTTATATGCTTAGTTTTCTCTAGAATATGTCTTGCTTCGCTTTCCTTTAAAAATTGTTCGGCCTTAAGTCTTAACGTTTCATCATCGTCTTCCGCATTCATCTTTTTTGAGAAGTCGTGATTCTCACCCTCGGTTGTGGAATTGTAAAGGTGACCGGGTGTCATATCTACGGCCTTGATTTTATTTGTCTTTTTAGTCAACGTCTTGCCTTTCACATTAGAATTTTTATCATCCTTAACTTTATCAAAAATAGGATCGGTGCGGGATTTTCTAACGATTTTCTTCGAATCGGGCCCTACCTTGTCTACATTCGTCACACACTTGGCACCAATCTGGTCAGTGCCAAGGAACTCGGCTTTGCCGTAAGATGTCTTGCCTTCATTCGAATTGCCCAACGATGAGGACGTTAAATGACAAGAAGACCCAAGCTCCTGAAGCGATACTATTGGCATACTCTTATCCACAATCGTATCACTCGCCTCGGAGGTTGCAGAACTCTCCGTTAAACTCTTAACAATTGCTGCTGCAATAGCCGCCGTAGCCTCACGATCGGAGCCAGGCTGATTCTTAGAGGTTGTAGAAGGCGCATCTCCACTTTGCGTTGGATTCATTTTATTATCTATGTTTGGGTTGGTGGCGGCTTCACGTCTGGAGCGCAGCTCTTCAGCCAGTATTTCAAGGATCTCCGCTTTTTTTTCCTCATCCTTAATCTTTTCCTTTAGTCTAGCTAGGACCTCTTCTTGACGGCTTTTGCCCGCCTTTTCTTGCCTAATTGGCAGTTTGCGAACAGCTTCCAACAGCGAAGCAATCGTGCCCTTATTCCCCTTTTGACCAGAACCAAACGCAGTTGACGTCGTTTCCGGCGCAGATTTCACAGATTTCAGTCCATCCTGCGGCCTCCCAGCCTGCTGAATTTCTGCTTTCCTGTCATAGGATGCGGGCTTTTGATTATCTTGAATTAAGGCCGACTTTGATCGAGTCTTTGAGGCTTTTTCCGCCACAGTATCCGCTGAGACCAACTCGGGTTTTTCAGCCTTGATCGGGTCAACCGAGAATTTTCTATCGGAAATCGACGAAGATCTAACGGCACTGAACGACTCCAGCAAATCGTTGCCGGGTTTTTTAGGGCTAGAGAGGTCCTTAATGGAGGAGGCCTCATCCACTTTGTTGGTTGACGGGTTCTGAGCTACTTTGGAAGACAAATCTGTGACTTTATAAATACTATTCGATTTGTTCTTGGGGGTCTTATCCGATTTGTCTGCCGAGGGTTTATTCTCAGACAGACTCTGGGAGGGCTTGGATTTGTGAAACCTGCCTCCATCTTTGTTGAAGCTCTTGGATTTGACTTTTGAGGCTTCATCAGGTTTAATTGCAGCGGATTTCTTGATCAACTGGTTCTGCGAGTGCTTAGAATGCCAGCCCTTAACATTATAGGTGGGATTGGATTTATTTTTCGATGTCTCGTCGAATTTAGATTTCGTCTTTGAGGCTTCATCAGGTTTGTTTGCTGCAGATTTGTTGTCCGACTGCTTCTGACAGGGTTTAGCTTGGGAAAATCCATCGTCGGCTTTAAATTTACTGCTAGGGCTATCTTTGGAGGCCTTCTCAGTTTCAGTTGCTGTGGGTTTGTTTTCCGATTGGATTTTGGATTTGTCCTGTGAAGCTTCGTCCGTTTTGTTGTTCGACTTGTTCTGATGGGGTTTAGCTTTAGCAAAGTCATCCTCAATTTTATAGCTGGTATTCGATTTGATCTTTGGGGCTTCATAAGCTCTTTTTGGAGGTGCGAGAATTTTAGCAATCCATTCTTCATGTTTATTCGAACACTTAAGTACGTCCTTTAATGCATCGTCCTCTTTAATTACAGCAGTTTTGATTGCTGTCTGACTATGAAGGGGCTTGAAAAACTTGTCCTCCATTTTGGAGGGGCTATTAGGCTTGTCTTTTTGGGGAACCGCAGATTTGGATGCCGAGTTGCCTTCCACAGTTCCCGTTTTGTCGGCGCTTTTGCTTTTCGGGTCATCTTCTTTTTGAGCTTGATTCGATTCCGATTTGTCTATTTTATAGCTGCTGGAGGTTTCCGTTTTCCATGGATTCAGTATCGTTTTGTTTGTGATTTCGCTGCTCGGAGCTTCCTTTTTAGGTGGATTGCCCTTGGCTAGATATTGATCTTGCTCTGGTTTCGTCTTGCCAACACTTTTCTGGATATTTCTATCGGACATACTTTTGGCTTCGCCTGCAGATTCGATTTTAGTTTTCGCAGTCTCTGCTTTCGCTTCGACTTGAGATAACTTATCATTTGAATTATTTTTATCTTGACTATTTTGCTTAGTGTTAACCACGACCAACGACTGAGGCTTTCCCTCATGAGAACCAACTGCCTTCGTTTCAACTTCGACGGGGATTTTAGCTCTGGACTTGAAATGCTCTCCAAACATTCCCTCCCATGGCATTTGGGGCTCAATCTTAGATAATCTGCCCACATTCTTCTCAGCTAAATTCCTTTCAGATTCTGAACGTTTTTGCGACATCTTCGTTTGAGACGTTTCTTGCTGTCCGTCAAATAGTTTGGGGCTACCGACTTCCGACTGGGATGAGGACCAAGTAGCCTCTTTATTTGGAACTTGTGGCGATTCGGTCTGCGAAGCTTGGCAGGATTTATCTGTTAGCTTGGTCACTCCGATTTTATTGGAGCTGCTTGTTGACTGTACGGGACTTGGGGAGGATTTAACTGGCTTTTCCGTAGTCTTTGAGGCGTCTTTATCTGCATCTGTCTGGCTCTGAAGAGGTTTTGGATTGGAAGCTTTCTTTCTCTCAATTGAATCAACAAATGCCCTAACCCTAGTTTCCACGGCACTCGCATTCGATTCAAGCTTGTCAGCTTTGTCTTTGGATTGATCCCCAACCGTTTGGCTGGATTTCGATGAAGTTTTAGGGTTCGTCGATTTGGGCGTTGTATTCGAACGAATGTGGCTCTGAATACTGATTGTATCCTTGCTATTCTGCTTGCTGCCAACAACGTTGCTCAGTGCCTTTATTTCCTGTTCGATGGATAGCTTGACTACAGTTCCGGTTGCCATCTTCTGTTTGGGCTTGGAATCAACGAGTTTTCGGCTTTCAGTGGAAATTGTTTCATCCTTGTTCGCTACTCGCGGCCGCGGCATATGCTTCTTGGTGTCCTTGGGCACGGAGTCGTCGTCATGAAAGTGTCGGATCATCGGAGCCAATGGGCGATGGCCAGCGTACCTGATGGACAAATAGGTGTATAGGGGTCGCGAGAACCGCCAATACAATAAATTGGCCATATCGTATATTTTTGTTGTTGTTCTGTTAGTTCAAAGGTGAACCACCGAAGCTAAGGGAATAAAAATCGTGTTGAAATTTTGAAACTCTAAGAATATTAACTTAAATTTTGTACCCAGCTAATAAATTTATTGTTCTGTAACGCACCACGTATTACATTTTTCTGAAATATGATCCAGGGCTTACTATAATCTATACTTAAAATTTGACAGGATTATTGCTATTCCTAGGTTGTACATGTATCATAACCTTGATGGCGCCGCCTGTGCCAAATCGAGCTGTTTCAAATGCCTTCGCGGTCTCCGTAATGTCGAAATGATGTGTGACAAGGCGCTTTATATTCACCCTACCGGAGGCTACCAGCGCCAGGGCAGCGGAATAGCTGAATAGCAAAAATTAAATAGATAGGTCATCCAACAGATGGAAAATTGATGGAGTTTTCCACTCACTCGTTACAGTAGCGGAACACGCCGCGAATGTCCACTTCCCGGGCCAGGGCATTGAACAGAGGAAGCTTCATTTCTGACGGGCCCATCCCGACGATAACAACAACACCTCCGGATCGCGTTGCCTGACGTAACAAAGGTTGTGAGCATTTATGAAAAATATCAGGGCTTATCAGTGAAGGTCTTACAAAGATTGCTAGACGTGTGGTGCTCTCCGCTCCGCAACAGTCAATGGACTGATCGGGCTCAACACCCATTACTTGATGCACTCGATCCGCGACATCTTCAGCGGTGTCACCAGGTTTCATCAGCAGAGTATGGGTGGCGCCCAGTTCCTTGGCGATGTCCAGACGTTGTTGCACCAAGTCCGTTATTAAAATCTTCGTAGCACCCATCGATTGTGCGACCTTGAACACTTGAAATGTAAGATGGATCGATTTAGTTAGTTTCAGCCAATCAACTTACCAGTAGAGTAACCAATCCAATTGGTCCTGCGCCCAGGATGAGCACCTTAGAGCCCAAGCCCACGCCCGCTCGGTTGCAGGCATGCACGCCCACCGACAACGGTTCCAGCAACGCACCCTCCTCCATCGTGACGTGGTCGGGTAGCTTGAAGCAAAAGTCCGCAACATGCTTGTAGTACCGGGTCAGATTGCCGTCGTAGGGTGGCGTGGCACAGAATGCCATATCAGGACACAGATTATAGCTGCCCTGCTTGCAGTGATCGCATTTATAGCAAGGCACGCCCGGCTCAATGGCGATCCGATCGCCCACAACGAGATTCTTAACCTTGCTGCCCACTTTGGCCACCACGCCTGCACTTTCATGGCCAATGACCATGGGCTTCGTGACCACAAAGTGCCCGATCCGACCCTTTGTCAGATAATGCACATCGGAGCCGCAAATACCGACGCTATCCATCGCCACCAAAACCTCTGTGAATAGGAAATTTTAAATGCAATTAAATTAAATGATAATAGCTTTCAATGGACGAGCTGAGCATACCATCTGCGGAAATATCGGGTATGGGACGTTGCTCCTGCGCATGGAATTAGAGAGTCAAATAGAGGAAATGAATTTTATTTTTTTTATGTTTGCCATACCAAACGCATGTCCTCAATACCATGCAAAACGGCGGTCAGGTTATCCTTTGTCATTTTTAAATTGCCTGTCCTTCCAATATAATAATCGAATGAGTTCACGGAAATTAGTCCGCACGATTTGAACGCCGATTTGATAACTAATTCAACGTATTTCCACTGTCGCAGCTCGTCGAGTTTATCAGCAATTCGCTTCGAATTTTATATAATTTTATTATACCCTTGCAGAGGGTATTATAATTTTGTCGTGAAATGTGTAACGCATAGAAGGAGACATCTCCGACCCCATAAAGTATATATATTCTTGATCAGTATCAACAGCCGAGTTGATATAGCCATGTCCGTCTGTCCGTCTGTCCGTCTGTCTGTTTCTATGCGAACTAGTCTCTCAGTTTTAAAGCTATCTTTATGAAACTTTGCAGAATTCCCTCTTTCTGTTGCACGCAGCTCATATGTCAAAACATATGGATCGGACCACTATATCATATAGCTGCCATAGGAACGATCGGTCGAAAAGTAGGTTCTTGTATGAAAAACATTTTTGTTTATAAAGTTATCTTGACTAAACTTTGTATTTATTAGTTTTACTACGCTCCCCATATATATGCAAAATCCTATTAAGATCGGGCAACTATATCATATAGCTGCCATAGGAACGATCGGTCGAAAATTAAGTTTTTGTATGGAACATTTTTATGTTTTTCAAGATATCTTGACCAAACTCGGTATTTATTAGTTTTACTAGGCTCCCCATATATATGCAAAATCCTATTAAGATCGGACCACTATATCATATAGCTGCCATAGGAAAGATCGGTCGAAAATTAAGTTTTTGTATAGAAAATTTTTATGTGTTTCAAGATATCTTAACCAAACTCGATATTTATTAGTTTTACTACGGTCCCCATATATATGCAAAATTCTATTAAGATCGGACAACTATATCATATAGCTGCCATAGGAACGATCAGTCGAAAATTATGCTGTTGTATGGAATTTTTTTGTTTTTCAAGATATCTTGACCAAACTCGGCATTTATTAGTTTTACTATGCTCCCTCCACTTATGCAAAATCTTATTCACATCGGGCAACTATATAATATAGCTGCCATAGGAACGATCGGTCGAAAATTAAGTTGTTGTATGGAAACCTGTTTTGTTTTTCAAGATATCTTAACCATACTCGGCATTAACTATTTTCCCTGTGCTTCTTAGATACGGGCAAAGCACTATGAGCATTTTGAAAAGGTTGGGTCTGCAAGGGTATTAAATCTTCGGTGTGCCGAAGATAGCACTTCTTTCTCGTTTTTCATTGTTGTTAGTTTATAATTCGCTTGCACTTCCCAGCTTTTGTGTTGACATGTTTGTTTGAACTTGGCAAGTGCATATGGGGGTATGGGAGATTACAAGTGTTTCACACCTTGTTTTTAAACCCTTGCAGAGGGTATTATAATTTTGTCGTGAAATGTGTAACGCATAGAAGAAGACATCCCCGATCCCATCAAGTATATATATTCTTGAACAGTATCAACAGCCGATTCGATATAGCCATGTCCGTCTGTCCGCCTGTCTGTTTCTATGCGAACTAGTCTCTCAGTTTTAAAGCTATCGTCATAAAACTATCATATAGCTGCGATAGAAACGATCGGTCGAAAATAAAGTTGTTGTATAGAAAACTTTTTTGTTTATCAATATACATATCTTGACCAAACTCGCCATTTAAAAGTTTTACCATGTTCCACACTTAAATGGAAAATCTTATTTACATCGAACTACTATATCATATAGCTCCCATTGTAACGATCGGTCATAAATTAAGGTGTATGAAAAACTTTTTGTTTTTCAAGATATCTTAACCATACTCGGCATTAACTACTTTCCCTGTGTTTCTTAGATACCGGCAAAGCACTATGAGCATTATGAAAAGGTTGGGTCTGCAAGGGTATTGAATGTTCGGCGTGCCGAAGATAGCCCTTCTTTCTCGTTTAATTTATACTGCATGCGTTAACACTATTAAATATTGAGACAACATTTTTAGCCCAGTCAAGCGCCGCATTCTTGTCAGTGTTGCCGTTTAAGCTTTTTTACAGCTGTGTCTAGCGTATTTAAAGGAAAACAGCTTTAAACCAGCTATTAAATAGAAATATAGGTACATTTTAACACAATATTTTATCTGTGTTGGCTTTATAGTTGGCAGCCCCGGCGGCTGTAAAAAATATAATAAAAACTATATAAAAAAATATAAAATACAAACAAAAAAAAGGAAATGCGACTTGGGTCAACTAATCTTAAAAGACAAAAGGTTATACAAAGCAGAATTTAATTTTTGACTGATAGGTTCGGATATGTCTCCTTCTATTTGTCTCATCTTGATGATCAAATTATAATATTTTATAAGTTTTATGTAATAAAATAGTTATGTATATATACGCATAATATAAATACAAGTGAATTATTACGAAAGCCATGTTAATTGTATTGTAATGGGCCTTTACAAATCAGCTGACTTTTCTACTATATATTTCCAATGGGCTCATCTATTCTATAGGCGACTATAATAATCCCCACATTATCAATTTATTATCAGTTAATAGATAAAAATAATGCTTGAATTACGTTGCACAAATTTAAGTGCATGATAAAACATGTTTATTACACAAGGTTTAAGCTTTAGCTAACATTTGATGGGATTATTGGCAGGTTGTTTTGAAGGTCTTTGCGGTCCCCATAATGCCAATATGATGAGCTTGAGATGCCAAGGATTGCAAATTTCTAGACTCATATCCATCCATAAACATTTATTATATTATATAATTTATTGCCAACGAATGAGTCTGTTTTTTATACCCTACGCCAGTTGAAAGTGGGTTAAAACTCAAAAACTATTAGAGCCTGATGCACCCAACTATAATATATAGTTAATAATTTATTATTATTATTATCAATATTATTATCAATATTATTATTATTATTATTATTATTATTATTATCAATATTATTATTATTATTATTATTATTATTATTATTATTATTATTATTATTATTATTATTATTATTATTATTATTATTATTATTATTATCATTATTATTATTATCATTATTATTATCATTATCATTATCATTATCATTATCATTATCATTATCATTATCATTATCATTATCATTATCATTATCATTATCATTATCATTATCATTATCATTATCATTATCATTATCATTATCATTATCATTATCATTATCATTATCATTATCATTATCATTATCATTATCATTATCATTATCATTATCATTATCATTATCATTATCATTATCATTATCATTATCATTATCATTATCATTATTATAATTATAATTATAATTATTATTATTATTATTATTATTATTATTATTATTATTATTATTATTATTATTATTATTATTATTATTATTATTATTATTATTATTATTATTATTATTATTATTATTTTAATATTGTTATTATAATTATTATTACCATTATTATTATTATTATTATTATTATTATTTTTAATATTATTATTATTTATTATTATTAATAAACAATATACTACTTTTGCATATATCTATTCACAGAACTCACTAGCACTTTTGTGTGCTTCATGTTTAAGCTCTGAAATTTCTAGAAAGATTGGAATATAGACTGTCTTTCCCATACATATCAAAGAGATGTGGCATAAGGAAGATTTGTTTTTTGTTATTTTAAAAGTCGTACATGCATTTTTATTTCTTATCGCCCCCTCTTACATGCAAAATATTTAACTTGATCTTGTTTTAGTTATCTAGTTATCTTCAGATAAGCCGAAACAAACGATATATTTTTATTTTAATTAGCATCTTGGTTCCGCAATGCCGGAAATATTAGCTTAATTTTCTTAATTAAAATCTTGTCTAAATTCCTTATGCCCAACTCTCTGGAATTTTCTTAACTTAAAAAACGAAAAAGCCTGTAATATATTAATAATAGACATCAAAAGCAATTACTGTTAAGTAGAGGTCTGCTCCTAAAATTTTATTAAAAACTGAACAGAAGGCACTTGGCTGAAATATATAGAAATTATTGGTGTCCCTGGATTGCAATTGATTATAATTTTAATTGCAACGTCTAGAGTATCACGGGATCTTTCAAACGTCATTTGACTTGTGAGGCTTCTCTTTAGCACCACGTTTGGTCTTCAGCTTCCTTAGCCACATCCTGAAGTCGTTGCTCTAGAAATATTGAGGCATATAAATAAATGTTCATATGTACGAGAACTGCTCAGTTATCATTGTACACTCACCTGTAGAAATTGGTTATGCACCCAGAACAAGGACCCTGAAGCACCAGGCCACTGGCACCCTCTTCCATGGTCACATGATCGGGCAGTTTATAGCAGATGTTAACCGGATGTTGGTGGTACCTTATTAAAAATATATCCATTAAGGATTTATAGCCTTGCGTTCCACATCAACCATTACTCCGGAACATTCCTGGCCAATGGTCATAACTTTTTTCACCTTAATCTGATCGATGCCGCCGAATTCCGGACAGTGAGGATCTGTCCGACAAACACCACAAGTGCTCATTTCTAACAAGGCCTCTGCACATGTGAATACCAAAGGAGATAAGGGAATCAAGGGACTTACCATTATCTTTTAGTTTGTGCAAAGGAACTTGCCTCGGCATGCAAAACTGGAAGTACATAAAGTACAATAATTGCTTGCTTTTTGTTGTACTTGCCAAACGTCGGTAATCCTTGGAAATTTTGCTGTAGCAGCGATTAGTTGAGATAACATCATTTTCATTTACTGAAAGAAGTCCTCTCGTTTTAAACGTTGAATTGCTGTTTCTTACGGTTGACTTTTGGCACATAAGGATAAAGGATTTTGGGGTCTTCTCCTGTGGAGCATCGATTGTTTCATCTCTTGGAGTCTTGTCCGCGAGGAATGTACTGGTATCATGGATTATACAGCAAGTGGCCGAAGCTTCATTTGGCATCAATAGCTTTAGCATACGTTTCTTGATCAGATCATCGAGGCTAGCTCCTTCATTATGCAAATGTCGCAGACACCTGCTGGGTAAAAAGCCTTGTAGGCTACGCGATAATCTCTGAATATTTCTATTGGCCATTTAAATCTACAGATAAAACTGCTTAAATGTGTAACTATTAATTTAGATAATAATCGAAACGCTCTCAAACATAAAATTTGTTACACTAAACTAATGTTGTGTCCAAAAACATTTCATTAAAAATTTTTGAATTATTTTACAAGGATTGCTTCAACGTATAGTTAAAATTCGACAGAATTATTGGTATTTCTCGGCTGTACATGAATCATAACTTTGATGGCCCCGTCCAGACCATCCCGAGCTGTTTCAAATGCCTTCGCGGTCTCCGTAATGTCGAAATGATGTGTGACAAGGCGCTTTACATTCACCCTACCGGAGGCAACCAGCGCCAGGGCAGCGGAATAGCTGAATAGGAAAAATTAAATAGATAGGTCATCCAATAGCTGGAAAATTGATGGAGTTTTCCACTCACTCGTTACAGTATCGGAACACACCGCGAATGTCCACCTCTCGAGCCAGGGCATTAAACAGAGGAAGCTTCATTTCCGGCGGTCCCATGCCCACGATAACAACAACACCTCCAGATCGCGTTGCCTACGTTATTTAAAAAAGATTATCAAATAAACTATCAATAAGTTTAGCAGTTTAGCTATTACAAAGATCGCGAGCCGAGTGCTGCTTTCCGCTCCACAACAGTCGATAGCCTTATCAGGTTCCGCACTCATTATCTGACGCACACGATTCGCGACTTCTTCTCCGGAATCATCGCGATTCAGCAGCAGGGTGTGTGTGGCGCCGAGTTCTTTAGCAACATCCAGACGCTGTTGCACCAGATCCGTGATCAAAATCTCCGTAGCACCCAAAGATTGCGCGACCTAAAAAAAAAGAGCATTTTGATAGATTTACAATACAGAATTGATCAGTTCATGGTGGTCACATACCAGTAGAGTAACCAATCCAATGGGTCCTGCGCCCAGGATAAGCACCTTAGAGCCTAACCCGACGCCAGCACGGCGGCAAGCATGCACGCCCACCGACAGCGGTTCTAAGAGGGCAGCTTCCTCCATCGTGACGTGGTCGGGTAGCTTGAAACAAAAGTCCGCAGCATGCTTGTAGTACCGGGTCAGATTGCCGTCGTAGGGTGGCGTGGCACAGAATGCCATATCAGGGCATAGATTATAGCTGCCCTGCTTGCAGTGATCGCATTTATAGCAAGGCACGCCCGGCTCAATGGCGATCCGATCGCCCACAACGAGGTTCTTAACCTTGCTACCCACTTTGGCCACCACGCCTGCACTTTCATGGCCAATGACCATGGGCTTCGTGACCACAAAGTGCCCGATCCGACCCTTTGTCAGATAATGCACATCGGAGCCGCAAATACCGACGCTATCCATCGCCACCAAAACCTCTGTGAATAGGAAATTTCAAAAAGTATCGATAAATCGAAAAAATAGAAAAAATCGATTACTTTTTAAGTCGATGGGGGTCGATATGTTATCTTATTTGATTTTAAGCTTACCCTCATCGGATATTTCAGGTATAGGACGTTGCTCCTGCATATAAAATTAAAGAGTCAATTGAAATTCACAATGTAATTGGGTTTTTCTATTCTTACCAATCGCAAGTCGTTAATGCCATGTAAAACAGCGGTTAAGTTATCTTTTGCCATTTTCGGTTAAATGTTTTATTTAATGCGAATTTTTTTTAGAGAGCGATGAAGGTCCGCACGTTCTAAACGCCAAATTGATACTAAATGTTCAATATCGTGGACAATTTGTGTCTACACGCGACAAAATATTTAGCCATAAATATGCGCATATGTATGTGAATATGTATACATATAAGCATACATGCGAACAGATATGTTTATTATCAATTAATTTGGGTCTTTAATATTTTGTTTGTGGTATTTGCACTCAACATCTATAGTTTATAGTATATGCACTTAAAATCACATGGTTTATGCTTTTTCTTTTAAATGTCTTCTTGCAAACAGCTGTTTTTGCATTCAATTTGCTTTGCTTGTTTACATTTCTTTTGCGTCTGTGTTGGAAAGTGCCGGCTTCTCTATGCCCATCTCCCTCCAACTACCATGCATATACACTAAGGTACACATAAGTATGTATACATATGTGTGTATGTTTGATATACTTAGCTTAGGGAGAAGGGTATATTGGTTTGGCACATTTTAAGTTCGTTCATCTATATTTGAATCTTGAACTTGCAATATAAACTCGTGTATTTACGTGTACGTTAAGTGTATAAAAGTCTTTTTTTTATAATATTTATTTAGAGGTGGATAAATAGAATCTAAAGTAATAATTAAATTGTTTCGTTTACAGTTTGAGCCAAAAGCTGGCTTCAAGAATGTGAAAAGCCAGTTTTACGAGAAGGACGTGTATATAAAGACAGGAATTTAGTTCAAACCGAAAAACCAAGCACCGACCATGTTTGCCCTGTTGTTAACAGAGTATTGCGCTGTCGGCATTGCCCGACCGCAACGTTAACATTTGTTTTTGCTTTGACCCACAACTCCATAAAATAGAATTGATTATAAACCTTTATGCATTATAGTTTTGTTTGCTTTATTTCTCGAACTAATTTCGTAGTTGTAATATTTAAATGCATGCATGCGCTCTTCCGATTTCCCGCTTAGGGTATTATAATGTTGTCATTTAGTATTTCAGTATGTACGTATATATATTCACGATCAAGACACCGTTTTAATGCATACCAATCTTTCGGTTTTGGTCTAAATCTGTTTTATATTTTTTTTTTTCGGCAAGCAGTGTTTGTTGCAAAATCGGCTAGATCGATTCCCTATAGCATATATCTGTGTCATAGGAACGATCAGTCGAGAACTAAATTGTTGTTCTTAGGAAAAACTTGTTTGGTTTATACATAAATGCATATATCTTAACCAGACTCAATAAATACACAAATCATTGCACTTAAAATATTTATATATAAAAAAACTTAACTTTACTTAAAGATCCAAGATCGTTCACGACTCATGGGAGATATTTAATAAATATGTGTGTGGCAGGGTATATCATCTTTAGCGCTGGCTTTCCGGTTGTTAAGTATATCTCTTAAATTGTAGAATTTCTATTTAAAAACATTTGCATATATCGCATATTTTGTATACATATATATATATATATAGCCTCTAGTATTGGCTGTTTTTTGATACTTAAAGCTAAAAAAAGTTGTTTGCTTAGAATTTAGAAAAAGTTTGCCTTTACTTTGGTTTATAAATATTTAAATGCATAATCATTAAATGCAATCCGTGTCTCTGGAGTATATTTGTATATTGTGTTCTTTTAAAATTTGGCCTTGTGCTAAGAATTGGAAAAGGAAACCAACTAAAAAAAAGAAGAATTTCAAATAACCAGCTAATTTTGAACATTCAACGGCTATTTGAGTATATAGATGAAAAGTAACCCAATATCTAGACTCAATATGTAGGCTATGAAAGGAACAAATTTGGCCGAAAAGGAAACTTTTGTTTGGCTGTACTCATAGCAGATATTTATGATTCTAATTGGGTTTATGAATCTAATTGGGTTTATCACACATATGGTCGAAAATCGAAACCGTCACAAAATTATTTCGATATGATGCGCCTGTAGTGCTCGGGATTATATTTTATATTGTTGTACACATATGAAAATCATAAATAATGCCAGATAAGTTAAAGGGGGGGAGGGGCTAAACCCAGACTAGATGGAATTCAATTTGATTTATGGCTGCATCCCAGCACTACTTTAATTGGCTGCGACGGTTCGCGCTGCTTTTGCTAATTAAATTTGGATTTTTTTTTGTTTTTGTTGTTTTCTGGTTTGTTTTTCTTACATGGACAACTCCTGCCTGGGCTTGTTTATGTGCAGGCGCTGCGGATCCTGTGGCGCAACGCATATATCGGTTAGGATAACCACCTCGTAGGGGCTGCAGTCGGGCATGTGTAGGAAGCCACAAAGCCAACCGTAAAAGCCCTTTTCAATATCGGTTATATCATTCACCCAGCTGCTATATTGCAGGCTCAGCTGTCGGAAGCCCGAGTACAAGCCCAGGCCAAAGGTGCAAAGGACTATGGCAAGTGGATAGGCCAGAAAGAGTATGGGCGTGACGAATATCTTGTGTACATACGACTTCTCCTCGCAATAGTAGTTAAAGATATTATACCAGGTCAGAGTGCCAATGTAGAACGAGTAGATGGCCGAGACGAGCGCAACAAATGGCAAGCAGATCAGCGAGATGAGAAATATGTGAAGTCCAACGCCGCAGCTGCAGGTGCAGCAGAGATTGTGCCCCTTGTGCGACTCACTGGCCATGGCGTGGGCATTCAGCTGTTCCAGTTCCTCGCGACTGATGTTTATCTGCAGATCGATGGACTGACCCTTCTTGCGACCTCTTTTAATGGTGCCTGCGTAAAATGTGGAAGACAATACAAAATTGTGTGCCAGGTGGCAAAGCAAAGCCATTGTTCAGACCCACCTGTCATGGTCAAGTAGTTGCTGCCCTCGAGCGTCTTGCGTGCCTGATAACGCTCCAGGCTCTGATCATAGGTATTCAGCACACTTGTTTCGCCCGACTCCAGATCCTCATAGTTGGCTATATCTGGCGAGGCACGACCGCCGCTGCGCGCATGTGGCAAGTCGGAGGTGCGTATGTTAACGCGCTTCTTCGACGACGAGCGATTGCTCAGACTGAGGCAGTCCTGCGACTTGCTCAGCTTGGCATCCAGGCTGCTCTCCGAGTAGCAGCAGCTGCTGGGCGTAACCGTGCTGCTCTCATGGCGCTGTGATGTTGACTTGGTGCCCTGTGAAACGGACTCGAAGTTCTGCAACTCATTCAGATTGTTGGCCGAACGTGTCGACTTATTGCTATGCTGTGTGGAACTGGCCGAGTTGGTGCTGGCGATGGTGTCCTGGGCGCAGCCAGGCTCCCCCGGCAGCTGCGGCAGTGGCTGTTTATTTTTGATTATCAATTTCGATTTGAGCAGCTCCTCTTCGAGGCCCGGATTCGAGGGGGAGAGCTTTGGTCGGTTTTGCTACAAATATGTTAACCAAATTTCAAGATCCACAAACCTAATCGATTGTTGTATTATAAATTGCAATTGTTACCTGCACATTGACAATGTGATCGACATAGTTTTGCTTTTTGGCCTCGGCTTTGTTTTGTTGTCGTTTACGTGGCGGTATGAAAACGGGGCGTTCCTTTGTTGACACTTCCGCGCTCATCGCGCCCTTGCCGACCATTTTATTCTCTATATTCTATTCGTTTACACACAAATCTTCATTTCGTTTTCTCGAAGCCAAGGAGTAAAGCGAGTTGCTTTCTCTGTGCTGCAGTTGTTTTAACTAGCATACAAAATGCACTTCCGGCTGTCCGTCTCGGTAGCTATGTAATTATTGATTTTTCGTTGAATTTCGTTGTCCTTGTGCTGATTTTGCGTTCCTTGACGTTGCCGCCTTTTAGGTTGGGCGGATAATGTTTACACCCAATTGACGCATGCGCAGCACCTTGTTTAAAAATGCAATCAAACAGCTGTTACTTAAAAACAATGCATTTGAATAAATTTTTAACAATTGACTGTGCAACGTTATTTGAAATAGAAACCATTTAATACATTGATCGCATAGATGATCTAATATGTACAAAAACATTCAACTAATTGAATTTAAATAAAACCGTTTTATGTGACAGTATTTTTGCATTTGGTATTTTAGAAATTCACCTCATTCCATGTTCAAATTTCCCCATCAAAAGTTGCCACATGTTAATAAAAATATAGAAAAAAAATTGTTGAAAGCCAATGAAACATGTGATATCTTAAATTTTAATAATGCTTAAAGTGAACCTTTAAAAAACCAAACATTGGTTATATTAAGTTATGTTCCATTTATTTTGGGCTCATTAAAATGGCGCCAAAAGTCACGAAATATCGATTAATCGAAAGAAAATTGTAAGAAATCGCCTAAAAGAATTGCAGAAGCGCTATTTTTCTTAAGAAATGGCAGGAACCATCTTAATTTCTGCTCTTGTGGTAATCACATGGTCCACAAATTATAAGTTCACAATGGGCGAAAAAAAAGAAAGAGAAGACCAGTCATCTGAGCAACAGGAAATAGCAGCCGGCTTCGCACATCTCTATCATTCGCTATTCTGCGTTTGCTAGATCCAGTCGCTGCCGTTATTTTCCATAATTAAGATAGCAACAAGATGTCCGCTACTGAAGGCAAGGTCTGTATATGTACAATAATTGATTAACTACAACAACAATCTCAAGTGTGAATTTTTACTTAGGTAATCAACTGCAAAGCTGCTGTCGCCTGGGAGGCTAAGAAGCCACTTGTTATTGAAGATATCGAAGTGGCTCCCCCAAAGGCCCATGAAGTATGTCGAACAATGATAGTGCAATTTTTACAATTTTTCAGCCCGTATGTGTACATATTTCGTAGGTACGCATAAAGATTACGGCAACAGGTGTGTGCCACACGGATTCATTTACGTTGAGCGGCGCCGATCCCGAAGGTTTGTTTCCTTCCGTGCTGGGCCACGAGGGCGCCGGCATTGTGGAGAGCGTCGGTGAGGGCGTGACCAATTTCAAGGCCGGCGATCATGTCATCGCGCTGTACATTCCTCAATGCAATGATTGCAAGTTCTGTTTGAGCGGTAAAACCAATCTCTGTCAGAAAATTCGCCTCACACAGGGCGCTGGAGTTATGCCCGATGGTACATCGCGCTTCACGTGCAAGGGCAAACAACTATTCCATTTCATGGGCACTTCCACATTTTCGGAATACACCGTTGTCGCTGATATTTCGCTGACCAAAGTCAATGAGACTGCGCCCCTGGACAAGGTGTGCCTTCTGGGCTGTGGAATTTCCACTGGCTACGGCGCTGCCCTCAATACTGCCAAGGTAAGGCAGCATTAACTGAATTATTCACCTCAAGCAATGAGCATTTTATCGCTGCACACAGGTGGAACCCGGCAGTACTTGCGCCGTTTGGGGACTGGGTGCCGTTGGCTTGGCCGTTGGACTGGGCTGCAAGAAGGCTGGAGCTGGCAAGATCTATGGCATTGACATCAATCCCTCCAAATTCGAATTAGCCAAGCGCTTCGGCTTCACAGACTTTGTGAACCCCAAGGAAGTCGCTGACAAGGGTCCAATTCAAAACTATTTGATTGATCTGACCGATGGTGGCTTTGATTACACCTTTGAATGCATTGGCAATGTAAATACAATGCGCGTTGCTCTCGAGGCCACCCACAAGGGCTGGGGCACATCAGTGGTCATAGGTGTGGCTGCTGCTGGACAGGAGATTTCCACACGACCATTCCAATTGGTCGTAGGCCGTGTGTGGAAGGGATCTGCTTTTGGTGGCTGGCGTTCGGTTTCGGATGTACCTAAACTTGTGGAGGCCTACTTAAAGAAGGATCTCCTTGTGGATGAGTTCATAACGCACGAGATGCCATTGGCCAAAATCAACGAAGCATTCGATCTAATGCATAATGGCGAGAGCATTCGTAGCATAATTAAGTACTAACACGCCCAACATGTGAACGTAAATATTTTTATATAATTTTTTAATGCATGTACATGCCGAGCAAATGTATTAAATAATAAATATGATTACCCCAGTGCACACAATACATATTACTGATAAACTTCTGGCTCCATGCGTGGTTGTAATCTATGCTGCAAATAGTACTCGTATAAAAAAGACGACAGCTTATCTGTTGACCTTTGCACAAAACAAGTAATCTTATTTTTCTGGAATGAGCGTTGAGGCATGGGCCAATATTACTTATCATTTTAGCATTATTGCTCTTTTTAAAAGGAATAATTCATACATATGCATTTGAATAGATGTATTTGCAATAATATAGTATATATTATTTTACAAATTTATGTCAGTTATTGGCTCTCATCGGAATTACTTAAATATTTTAAATAGTTAATGTTTAAAATCTTTAAAGATGGGCAAAAGTTTTATGAAGTCCCTTAAGATTTGTGCCAAAATATTCCATAGAAAATAACTATAGGCTCTTTGTCCAAGCTAAACATATACCACACCTTAAGACGACGTTAATTGGAAGTCTTAAAATCTGTAATTTCTATACATATATATTTGTTCGATATTTTGAATATATTCGTGTGATGTACTACAATAAGGTATATTGCTATTACTACATACTGTGTTGGGTACTGCAATAAATGCGCATGCAATGTGGAATTGTGCTCAATTGTAGATTAAATAACAAATATAAATGCATACGCTTCTCTTAATACCTATGTACATAATGTCTTTTAATTTTATGCTAACAAGAACATCATGATATTGCATTTTTAAATTTTAAAATTTTAATACATCGATTTAATTTATTTGTAATTACAATTACAATTTTGTCTATGGTCAAAAAAGCCTTTAGAATACTTACAATACAAACATGCATTAAATGGACAATGCTCATGGTAAAATAAAATAATTTCTATAACTATGGGTATACATATATGAGATATGAGGGCTATTATTCATAGTATAATATTGAGGCATTTGCACAACATTTGGAAACAAAGAATTTCGCAAAAGGCAAGAGAATTCGAAATGCAAAGTCATAAGCAACAGCCGTTGACTTCTAATAGCTTATTGTTAATACTTTTAGATAGAATTGTGAAAAATATTTGAGCATTGCACGGACCAGATTAACTATACGAAGACGTGATTGGCGGTAGCGACAGGGAACGGCCTGGCCGACTGCTTCGCCGTCGTTTGCTTACATTTGGGTGTCGTAGTAGTAGAAATCATCAAATGGATACCCGTAAAAAACCGGGTGCTATGGCACTCACGACCAGCGCGACTTCTGCATATCGATTTGGCCCTCCAAAGTCTTGGCCAAGTAAATGACAAACAGCTGCAGGAACGCAATGCCCAGTGCAACGCCTGCGATCACATACAGATTACGTTCCGCCCAGACGCGGACAATTTCAATGCAACCGCTGGTCCATATGCGTTTACTGGCTGCTGCCACAGAGTGTTCCTGCACGCCATAGCCGCACATAATATTGACTAGACCCGAGCTGATGTCCGTGGCATTGATGCAACAGCTGTAGGGCACACCGCACTTCTCCACTGAAGGGGAAGAGCAATTGAAGTATTCATTTTTGCCTGCAGAGTAAAGATATATGTATTTGCCATGGTCAGTTTAACAATTGTATTCTAAACGTCTACTCACTCCAATCCTGATAGCCAGCATTGCTCAGACCACAGCACTTGAACTCCTGCTGTGCAAAGTCTATAAAGTTCTGCAAATCGGAGTCATCGCGGTACGAGTGAATAATCTTATCGGTGAACTGGAACTCCAGGAAAGCGTTCATGTTTTGTGGGAACACAAAGCAAATTATAGCTGAAAGCAAATACAAATTAAATTAGTCAAATGTTAAATGCTGCTGCTCGAAATTCACGCCCACCAATCGCCATTTCCATGAGAAAGAAGACCAGCAAGCACATGGAGTAGAACTTCAACAGGCACGTATTTTCACGCAGTGCGCCCAGGCAACCAGCAAAGCTGACCACAAATATGACTATGCCCGCTATGATCATGACTAAAGATATATTGAAGATCACATCATAAACGGTTTCCAGCCGAACCCAACCAATGCCCTCCTTCAGCTTATCCATAAACGCGTAGACGCCGATAGATAAAAGCAGCCCACCAAATAGCCAAAACAAAAAGTTTAGAAGAAAGATAAGATATTTTACACAGCTGGAAACATATGTAAAATGATGTGGATACGACATTCGCGGATGCATATAGCTGCCGCCGCCGTGATGATATCTGTGGTTACTCATGGCAGTGTTTTGGTTTAGTTATCACAACTATTACTAATGAGTAATAAACAATTTGCAAAGCGTTGAATGTTTTCTAGTTTCTTCTTCTTTAAACTCTTGCCCTTTGTTGACGCCCTCTTTACGCGTGATATGTGCTAGTAGCTTATGAAATTCCTGTTTTCACATTGTATCTTATTCTCATCCGGGAAGACCTTCTGTGTTTAATTAAGCACACACTTCTTTTTTTTTACAATAACAAACAAATTTTAATTTGCAACTCTTTAGCTACCAGCCAGTCCAGCTAAACAATGTTTACGACGTTGCCAGACTAACTAAATCAAAATTGGCATCGTTGGCAACGCATTACAACAGCTGCTTAGGCAATCAGTCCGGCAACGTTGCTTATTTTTACAGGCAGCTGTTTGTAGCTTTTTAGTTTTTCATTTTCCTTCGCTGCGAAAACGTTGCAGTTGTGTTCGATGTTCGTAATATAAACGTTGCGTAGGACAGCTAAAAAATTATAAACAAAAGCCAAAAATAGCGCTGTAAGCAACAGCACCAAATTATATATTTGCAGGTGAGCGTTTTTCTGGCATAGCCGCAGCGCCCCCTTCAAGGACACTAGGTGTATACATGTGTGTGTGCTTGAATTCAGTTTGCCTTGCGTCTGGCGTATTAGGAATTTTTATTGGAAAATTAGTGTGGCCGAGGCTTTGATTATACAAAATTCTATAGGCCAGATAGTTTTGTGTTTAGATTTTTTTTTTTTTAGCAACCGTGTGCATCTGAGGCTTTCTCTCTAATGCGCTTTCTCTCCGTGGCTGTGTGCACACACACACGCGCATACAAAGATGCGGAGAAATAGAATGCCAAAATAAAATACGGAAGTGAGAAAAATTGCATATATTTGGTTTAGTTTGAGTGTGTGGGCGTATAAAGAGAAACACTCACGGGCAAAACATTGACTTTTCGCAGTTGTTGGTTTGCCTCATTTCGCATGTGATTGAATAACCCATCAGTGCCAAGTGCAAACTGCAGTCGCACCGTTGCCGTTATACGTACGTTCCGTTGTCAATTTGAGGCGCTCGAAAAATGTTTTCACTTTCTCGCCACGCACTGTGGGCACGAAATTTCGCACTTATTGCTAACAAGTACAGGTGCAACTTGATTCAATTGAAAACGGGAGCCATCGCTGTCTCTGCACTTCCATACGTGCGTGCCTTTGCGGGTGAGTACGACAGATCGAGGTGTGGGGTGGGGTGTTTAGGCGGGTGGGCGTGTCCCGGGTACAGATAATGACGGCTTTATTAGCTCGCCATTTCAAAATGGGCCCGCAATAGCACAGCGAATGTGAATTAATTGTTAGAGCTACCCCCAATACGATTGAATTGATTTTTCTATGCACAATTATTGGCGAATTTCCCATTACGGTTCAATTTTCTAGTTCAAATAGTTGGCATTAATACTTTGCGCACTTTATTGCTGTCAATTTGCTATTTTTAGACGCACAGTGATTCATGTTATTCGATCAACGGTTCGAAATTGGTTGATTTTTTTTTCATTTTCAAAATGAATTCATCGTTTTTTATTGTGCGCGACACACTTCAGTGGCTTTTTTTCAAATGTACAACAACAAAAAACCGGCCCCAATTTTCCCCCATTTCGTGCATCGTGTTTTTTTTTTTTGCTTTTTGTTTATATTGGGCGCCACTTAATTTAAGTGCGGCAGTATAAAATTATTTTTAACCTATGCGTTTCTTCGCTCAATTTGTAGCGCTGCAGTTTCCAAAGACCTAACAAATCTGTTTACACCTTCAATTTCCATTTTCCACTTCTTGTAAAGTGGCGATGGTTGCGGGCATTTTGTTTATACCTTGTTAATGCATATTTTGTATACAAATTGCGTGGCTGGGTTTTGGCTTCTTGCATTTTTGATTTTCTTTTGTTTTTAATGTTATTTTTTCACGATTACTTAATGCAAATCATTGCTGATAACAGCCCCACCTCGCGTTCTTATCGTTTGTTGGCTAAGAGCTTGCAGTTTTTATAATTTATGGGCACCTTAAGTGTCGGCAAACCTACTGATAACTTGGGGCTAGCTAATAAATAATGTTGTATTATAACTGAAAGAATACTTAAAGTAACGATGATGATTTTCACAAATGTTTAATTATGGGTTATAGTCGAAAGCTAATAAAAGGTACTCCGGTATCACTTGTCCTATCATGCATTCGTTAAACTTTCTTATGGAATAAAGAAGGCAGGGATTAAAAACTTTACAGCTTAACGAATTAGGTACATATATCCAATTCCCAATAGAAAACTTGGCTTAAAAATTAAAAAAAAACCGATCGTGAAGATGAAATCAAAAAGAATCCATAGAATCCATAGTTTTTGTATTTGTATTTTATAAAAAAATTAAAACCGCTAAACATTAACATGAAAATCGCAAAGAAAGGCGATATTTAAGAGAAGACAGCGTAACAGTAAAGATGATTGAACAAACGAGAAAACATTGCATAGCTAATAGACTACAATGATTTTATTATTTAGTTGATTTTGTACCTTTGTGTAGAAATTTAAATGGAAGCTTTAAATTGCGATAGTTGATTTCTTAGTGCAACCTACTTAGAATCTATCCATTTAAACACATGAAATACTTACTAGCTATAACATGCATTTTTCTGGTAAGCTGATAGCAATTGCTCAATTGTTGCGAAACAAAGCAGAGGAAAGAAAAGTATGCAAATGTTAACCGCAAGCTTAACTATACAAAGTCGGCTTAAATTGCAGATTCACGTCAGGGCAACGGTGACAACAGCAACGACGGCAAGACGACAAATTCCAGCGGACCCAAAGCCAACATGGAGAATAAAAGCGAAAAGATTACCGTAAACAAGGAGGAACTGCGCAAACGTCTAACGCCGCTGCAGTATCAGGTTACACAAGAGGCGGGCACCGAGCGCCCCTTCACAGGTGGGCTCTTTAATAAAGTTGAACTTAATTACGTAAAAGGCACCCAACCAATCTATTCTCAATCCGAATATTTCAGGTTGTTACAACAAGCACTACGAGAAGGGCGTATACCAATGCATTGTCTGTCATCAGGATCTGTTCAGTTCGGATACCAAATACGATTCGGGCTGCGGCTGGCCAGCATTCAACGATGTGCTCGATAAGGGCAAAGTCACACTGCATCGCGATGCCAGTATACCAGGTATGTGCGCTGTATCTATAGTGCAAATCAATTTATCTTAGAGGCGTTCAGCACTTTTAGATGTTTTAGCAAAAGTTTTGCATTTGAGATTTTAGTTTGTACAGTTTTTATTTTATTTGTTTTTCGCTTTGCAAATTAAAATTAAGTTCAAGTTGAGCATCCTATAGATCTATACATAAGAAATCTATATACAATAATAAAAAAAAAATGTATAGATAGATTAGAGAAATTTGTTCAGTTGCAGAGACTGCTAAAAGCTCGTTTTAAGTTTTAAAAGTTTAAAAAAATTGTATGGAAACGTTTTCCAACACCTTAACTTCAATATCCATATCCAGCGCAAGTGTTGAAAAGAACTGGATTATTGTATTGTCCTTATATGTTTGTTTTGTTACTGTTATTTAAAAAAAAAAAAAATGTACAAAATGCATACATATGTATACGTGTGTTATAGCCATTTGAGAGCCATGTGTTCACTGTAGTTGTTGGGCCGCTTAAGTGCAAACTGTTTGTGCCGTTATTTGTGAAATTGTCCTGTTTGATGAATGTGCAACTTATCCAATTCTGAACAGAAAAATCAAAACTTACCTAATTGAGTATTATTCTTTTATCCACATCTTTTTTGCTAACCAAAACCGAAAAATACAAAAAAAAAAAAAAAACAATAACATTTTCAAATTTCCCAAAAATAAAATTTTGAAATTTCGTTATTTGCTGCAACACAACAACACAATCAAAAAAAAAAAAAACCAACCACAAAAATTGACATGCTTAATATATGATTAAAAAAACAGTAGTCATTTCAAAAACGTTAGGGATGGTACGCACCGAGGTACGCTGCTCCAAGTGCTCGGCCCACATGGGCCATGTGTTCGATGATGGACCCCCACCGAAGCATCGGCGCTTCTGCATCAACTCGGCGTCGATTGATTTTTTGAAAAGAACAACAGCAGCGACGACGACATCGTCCAAAAAATAATGTTTTCGTTTATTCATGTTGTTAACAATGAGATTCTATACAGAAAGATAAATTATATGTTAATTTAAAGTACATATAGTACATGCATATATATATATATATATATACATATATATAAAAAAAAATATTATAGAACCTTATTTACATATGCAAAAATACTCATGATATATTGTTGATATGTTTATAGCGCCGATTACACTCAGTGTGTGAGATTTGTGTTGAGAACCCAATATAACGGAAATTCCATTTATGTTAAGGGAACAGGCTTTTGTTTTAGTTCGTATTTTCTTTAACTCACTTTTAATTACGGTTTCAATATAACTCGAGTATTCAAAACTTCCATCAAAATCTAATACATAAAGCACGCACAGCTTCTTCATCAATTTAGTTTGTCGCCAAGAATCATAACAGCAGCGCTCTTTATTCTACATATTTTTGGGTTAGGAGTCATTTACTACATGTATATTATATACAGTATATATATTTATATTATCTGTGTATCTGTGTACTAAAGCTGGCTTAAAGAGTTGGTCGCATCGCTTTGTTTCTTTTGATATCTTTATTTTTTTTTTTACATATTTTTGGTAATTTTGTTTGGCTTCACGTTTGATTTCTATTTATTTTGGTTGCTTTTTATTCATATTATAATTATATTTGTTGTACTACATTGCAAGACTATCGTAGCCGATCCATATATTGTCCAACAAACTGAATAATGTGTATTTTTCGTATATTTTTCTATTTCTCTTTTTTTTAACTCGCTTCGAAAAAAAAAACAAAAACAAAAAACTATACCAATACTTAATGTACCGCCTGTAAACGTTCTTTGGGGGTTTGTTTTGCTAACAAAACACACACACACACTCACTCAAAACATTCAAAATCATTGTTAAACTGTAATCCCAAACACCTGACGCATTAAATGGCTTATTAACAATAAATTTTTAAAAACTATTTATACAATTCATAAATTAAAATGTACATCTAAACTAAATCATTTGCAAAAAAAAAAAACTATTTATTTTGATTTTTCAATTCTTTATACGCTACATTTCATTTTTCAATCGACGCCGTCCACTGTTGTTTTTCGCTCTACTCCTTCTTTCGCTATTCGTCTCTCTTTGATGCACTTGCACTACAACATTGTCATCTGTTTCGCTGTCTCTGCACAATTACATTTTTCCGTTACTTTTTCTGTTTCTCTTATTGCTTGCATCAACTCTCTTATTTTACGTGTACGCTCTTGCATATTACACCATCTTACTCTCACTCACTCGATCTCTCACTGTCTCTCTCTTTCTCTGCTTTTCACATCCCCTATTTTTGTTATTTATTTTGTAATCTATTTAATTCTTTAATAAATCGTTCTTAATCTGAACAATTTCAATGAAATGCAAATATCAATGATTGTAAAAACAAACCAACAACAATGAAAACGTAACTCGATCTATGCAAAAACAAAAACAAAAAATTGAACGAACGTACCCAATTAATCTCACAATTGCAAAATACAAATTAAAAAGGGGGCAATATTTTACTACTAATTGCACATCCAGAACGCATACGCACCGAGGTACGCTGCGCCCGCTGCAACGCCCACATGGGACACGTGTTCGAGGATGGACCCAAGCCCACACGCAAGCGCTACTGCATCAACTCGGCGTCCATTGAGTTTGTCCAATCGGAGCAAACGTCATTGACGTCAACGACGTCGGCGCAAGCATTAAGCCCCCAGGGCACGCCTATTGCGCAGCAGTAAGAGAGAAGATGCCTGGGAGAAACGACTGGGATGAAACAATCAACGAATACGAAGCATGTGCGAAAGAGTCTAACCTCAATGTTGCTGTTAAGAGTTTTTACACGTATTTTCTAACTTTCCGTAAATGTGGCCAATAATTCTTAGCATAGTCTATTGATATCATTTGATGAATGGGCAGCTGTTCATACAAATTGTTCACAAAAAACAAAAAAAAAACTATATTACTTACTCCGTCTGTTTGTGTAAATAGCTAAACGTTTCTCTTTTACTTTGTTATACATATGCGTACACACAAATACTTTGTAACACTCACACTCACACACACACACATAAACAATTTTAAAATGTGTGCGCTAATAAACGTGTATTTTTTACAATATACAAACATCAATTGCATATAATTATCAGTGGTTGTTTTTGTTCTGGGTTGGCGCCAATCACAGATGAGATGCAAACAGCTGTTTTCGCATCGCGTTGCCAACCAAGTGCTGAGCACAGCTGTTGCATATGCAATTCAATTGTGATGTAACAACTGTCTTCGCCATGAAAAACAAATACATTTTGTGTTGACAACAATAAATCAAATAAATTGAAGTGAATTCGCGTTGTTGTTGCTATTGTTGTTGTTGCAGGCGGCTTTTAAATCAATTAAATCAACAGTAGAGTCGATAACAAGCGTGCAAAGCAGAAATGTTCACGATCCCCATGCCTTGTGTGAAATTGTAAGTGGTGTAGGGTATCCCATATTCAGCCTGACCAACAACTGTTTGCAAACACTCAAACCTATATACATACATACATATGTATATGCTTGTATATCTCTGCGTCTCTGACATTCAAAATGTTGTATGCCGTGTATCGCAAGCCGGCAAATTGGTCGCCGAACGTCAAAGTGAGCGCAACGTGCGACGCGTTTTGTAACTTATAAATTTTCAATTATCTAACAATTGTATATAGGAGCAATCAGTGTGTTGGCATTAATGCCAGATAATGACATCCAAGCAGCCACCCAATAAACCAACCCAACGATTAGATTAAACGCCTGCTTTGTCTGCAGGTCCGTTTCCAAGAAGCGCACTTCGAGTTTCTAAAATTAAACAAGTTGAAAAGCATGCAAAAACAAAAACTGCAAGTCCGTAAACAAGCGTAGAGAACTGCTGATGTAGTTCATTAAAATATCAACCATATCTTCGCATCATACGTGTTACGACACGTGAAGTTTCATAGCGTTGCGTTGCGTTGCGTTACGTTACGTTACGTGAAACGGTTACAAGATGAAGGAATGGCTAAAAATCTCATGCCTTCTGTGCGTATTTGGCTTTGTACGCGAGATCCGACCCTCTGAGCCCTATGTCACGGAATATCTTCTGGGCCCATGGCGCAACATAACGGAACAACAGGTGAGTTGGCGTATTGGCAAGTTTTTCAAATTATCCCTCATTAAATCGTTTCTCTATTAAAGCTAACACAAGATGTTTATCCAGTGGGCACCTATTCGCATCTGGTTCAATTGGTTTTTGTTTTTCTTATTACGGATTTTCTGCGGTAAGTTTGCCATACTTGCAATGAAATAAAACAAAAAGACCGCAACTTGATACCTTTGCAGACAAATCGCAATAATCGGTATTATTTATTTACTCTTAGCGGCTATATCATTAAAGCTTATCCATATAGCTTCCAATAACTGTTGATGCTAACGAAAAATATTTGAACTTTAAAAGATTTCTGCTTCAGTGAAGCTTTTAAATGGATATATTGGAAATAAGAAAAATGTATATACATATCGTATATATCCTAATATAGTATAGTATTCCAACAAGATTTTTATCATATCTGAAGATCGCATTCCAATAAGATTTCCAATGAGATTTTTATCGTATATGAAATCATATGGGAAATCAATATGTGGAGCATGTAATGTTTATTTTATCCGTCTCCAATATTGGCGGTTATTCTATATAAAAATAAACTTGTATTTATTTGCTGAGTAAATTTGTTCACCTAAAATCTCTTTTCTCCTTTCCATTGCAGATATAAACCTCTCATAATTACAATTGGCGCCGCTGGCGTGATCATCTGGAGCATGCTGATTTGGACAACCAGTTTGCTGTCATTGCAAATATTGGAATTCTTCTATGGCACTTACATGGCCGCCGAGGTGGCCTACTATACGTACATCTATGCCAAGGTGGACAAAAAGTATTATCCGCGCGTTACCTCTCACACACGTGCTGCCATGTTTGCCGGCAAGCTAATCTCGGGCATTACATCGCAGCTGATGATAAATCTGGAGCTGATGAACTACAAGCAGCTCAACTACATAACGCTAGCCAGTAAATAGACTACCTAACCATATACCAGATTATTCAGCTAATCTTTTTTCATAATTTAACAGCACAAATTCTGGCCATGCTGTGGGCGTTCGGACTGCCCAAAGTGGACAAGAGCTTGTACTTCCATCGCGAAGTATATCTAAGGGAGGCCACGCCTGAAGCTCCACAGACAAACCAGCTGCAACTGCAGCTGGAACCGCAGTCGGAATCTGGCGAACCTGATGTGGCCAGCCAACAGACCGCCGGACAGCAGGTCCAGTACAATCCCATGCGGCTGCTGTGGCAGCACTTTTACAATGCCTACACAAGTCCGCGAGTGGTGCAATGGAGCCTGTGGTATGCCATTGGCCTTGCTGGCTATCTGCAGGTCACCTACTATATGCAGGTGCTGTGGAAGGTTATCGAGCCCGAGCCACAGATTGCATGGAACGGTGCTGTCGACGCCGTGCTTACCGCCTTGGCGGCGCTAAGTGCTCTGGCCGCGGGATATCTGCACAGCGGTCGTTTAAGGCCGCGTACCAGTTTGCTTGTGTTATCAGTGCTATCAGCGCTGGAAGGTGGCAGCGTCTTGATCTGCTGCTGGACCCATGATATCTATTGGTCCTATGTGGGCTTTGTTATCTTTGGCGCACTGTACGGCTTTACCATTACTGTGGCCAGGTATATGTGCTGCTTCCAAGCTTATGATTTAAATTAAATCCATTTACTTACAGCGCTGAGGTGGCACGTAATCTGCAGGAGGACAGCTTTGGCCTGGTCTTTGGCATCAACACGCTGCTGGCTTTGGTCTTCCAGTCGTTGCTCACCATTATTGTCGTCTCCGAGACGGGCTTTGAGCTCGACGCTGTGGGCCAATACACGGTCTATGCTTTTTATTTCATAGCTGTCGCCATCATATATTTTATATCCGTCATCGTAGAGCATCTATGGTATCGCGGAGCGCAGCAAGTCCAGGAAAAAACCGAAATTATAGATTAGATCTTGGCAGTGGCTTAAGCAGAAAATTGAAATTAGTTAACATATTTTAATTTTTGATCAATTTAAATTGCTCGCAGTCCCACAAGAAGTTTAATCAATAGATTAAATGGATCTTAATGATCGTGCCTTATACGGGCTCCATCATCATCATTTTATTTCGTTTTTCTTACTATTCAAAATTGTATTTTCTGCGAAGTTAAATTTTCAGTGTGAGTCAGTTTTAAATCATTACCGCATCTGAGCATTTTGTACTTAATAGTTCTCTTTAATAAGCTCTACCACTTAGATAGAAATAAATATGTTCCTCTGAGAAGCACAAATTTTCAATCAATGATTGTAAATGACATTCGTTGTAGTACTTATTTTGTGTTTTTATTGTCTCATTTTAACAGATGTTTAATGTTTAATTAAAGTGTATAAACGACAAACAAATTGTATGAAAAACTTTGCAGATGGAATCATGCAACATCCTAATTATGGCCGCTAAATAAGTTGAAAACAATTTAGGAAAAACACTTGGCCCGGAAAAAAAAACCTGTTAATATCAGTTAATATCAGCAAGTCTATTAATGGTTTGTATTTACATTTCTAATTATTTGTGCATACTAATATTTAGAACACATTGCCGAGGTGTGTTCGCAGACTAATCGGAAAGTTGTAATTTTATGGGTACTCTACGTGGGATTAAAACTATTTTTTTTTATGTCTTATTGGTAAACACGTCGAACAAGTATCTACACATTATTTGCCAAACCAGAAACTTAGTTTGTCTCCGATTGCGATCCGAGAAGCACTTTGAACGCGACAAAGAGTTAAGAGGTGTGCAATTAATTATTTTAAATGGGCAATATTTATTATATTCCTATACACTCTGTTGTAATGCTTGGATATTATCTATTATCTATATCATTTGCTAAATCCTTTAATACGTTGTTCGCTTAGTTAATAGGCGCAATTAACCTTCGGCATATCATTGCTTTTTATAGCAGGTAGAAAAAAGCCGCAGTTGCTGTTTTTAATAAGTGAAACTTATTAAATTGCTTGCACGGCGCCTCAAGTTTATTTTTAACTAATGCATTGATTTAAACTGTGTGAATTTTAGCAAGTAGAATGCGAAAAATCGTGCCAGCGATTTGGGAAAATTTTCGCATCCCGCCAACGTCTACGCTAATCTGTTAACTGATTACAACCAAATAGAAATAAGAAACTATGTACTTATTGTTCAACTTATAACCCCATAAAAGTATGTGCAATTATTTTAATTATTTGTATGCAATACATGACTAGCTCGAGCTAGTCAGAGCTGTCAGTTCCGTCAGGCCCAGCCGTCGATTAGAAGGCAGACGTTGGGTTAGCGATGGAGTTGTCTTGGCTGCAAATATCAGGTGTGCTCTGCGTGTTTGGATTTTTGCGCGAGCTGCGTCCCTCGGAGCCCTACCATGCCGAAATACTGCTGGGCCAGTGGTACAATGTGACACAGGATCAGGTGAATCGGGCTGTCTATCCCATTGGCACCTACTCATATCTCGCTTTATTGATTGTTGTCTTTCTGATCACCGATTTTCTCAGGTAATCGTAACACACTCACACACACACTCACACAGACACACGGTTAAATTTACTATTCATGCCCTTAACAGATACAAGCCAATGATTATTGCGAACGCATTAACTGGAATTATTGTTTGGAGTGTACTGATATGGACGACAACGTTGTTGGGCCTGCAAATTGTCGAGGTGTTTTATGGCTTTTATCAGGCCACCGAAGTGGCATACTATTCCTATATATATGCCAAGGTCGACAAAAAGTATTATCCCCGTGTTACCTCCCATACCAGAGCGGCCATGTTTGTCGGCAAGCTGGTGGCCGGCTTGTCCGCCCAGCTGCTCATCAGCTTTAATTGGATGAACTATATGCAGCTGATGTACATATCTGTTGGCTGTTCGTATGCCTTAGATGACTATATAACTATTATTATACCTACTTTTCCCACACACAGCGCAAGTATTGGCCCTGCTGTGGGCCATTGGATTGCCCAGAGTTGAGAAGAGCTTGTATTTCCATCAGAAAGTCAGAGCGAGTGCCGCCGGAAATACACCTGTTGATAATATTGAGCCGGCCAAGGATGCCAAGGATGCGCCTGAACTGTCAGTTGCCAGCAAGGATCGTGTCCAGCCGATTCAGCTCCTGTGGGCGCACTTTCACAGCGCCTACACGAATCCCATGGTCCTACAGTGGAGCCTCTGGTATGCCATTAGCCTGGCCGGCTATCTGCAAGTCACAACCTACATGCAAGTCGTTTGGAAGTCGTTTGAGAACGAACCCACGGTGAGCTAACCCACACTCTAATCGCGTTATCAGCTGATTGTAATCGTAATTGTAATCTTCTGTAGATTGTCTGGAATGGGGGCGTGGATGCCGCCTTAACAGCACTTGCTGCTCTCTTCTCTTTAATGGCAGGCTATTTGCATGCTGGCCGTTTAAAAACGCGCTCCAGCCTGTTATTATTAGCTGTGCTCTCGGTTCTTGAGGGTGGCTGCATTTTGCTGGCATCCTGGACAACCAATATATATTTGTCATATCTGGGTTATGTGTTGTTTGGGGCGTTATTCGGGTTTACCATCACAGTGGCCAGGTAAATACGGATTTTTTTCGTTTCAGCCTATTTCTGCAAATAATCTATTATATTGCAGCGCCGAACTGGCCAGAAGTCTGGTTGAGGATAGTTTCGCCTTGATCTTTGGCATTAACACACTCATTGCCCTCATCCTACAAACTTCCCTCACTCTCGTGGTCGTCTCTGAGAGTGGAGGACTTTATCTGACCACATTTGAGCAGTTTACCGTCTATGCTTTTTATTATATTGTGATAGGCACTGTGTATTTCATAGCCATTATCGTTCAATATGCTTTGACATGCGCGAAAAGCTAAAGAAAACTCAATATATGGGCAAAATTGAAAAGGCCCAATTACAATATTTTATTGGTAGTGGAGTAGTGAGTTTTTGGTCGTATGTTAAAAAATAATTTTTATGTAAATACTTACGATAATATAAGCAAATAATGTTACATGTCAAAGAAAAATATATACAATTATGTGTTCAAGTAATGTGTTTCTCGATTATATATATTAAGATTGAAATCCATTAAATATCTTATATTTATATAATTCGTAGTGTTTACAAATTTATAAATTCCACTTTGTTCGTTGTATCACTAACCATACAATGCATAGACTTGTCAAATGTCAAAATAATCGGATACCGATAAATCGTCAACGACTGAGCCCCATGGGTGACCGCGACCATTTTAGTGTGACCAGACAAAGTAAGACTGCTGAGAGTGGCAGCCGAACGCCGGCCTCAACAGCCGAACGTTCAGTATGAAGCCGCATCCCGCTCAGCGCACAACGTTGCTGCGGCTGATGCTGTTTTGTAATATATGTATCTTTTCAGCCCAAAACATACATATGTGTATATGCGTGTGCAGAGCGCCCCTCGCTCACACTTATTGCTTTGCGCACTTGTGTGCATCTCCTTCTCCCTGCATAGCTTCTCAAAAACCCCGAGATCTACAAACATACATACATATGTTTGTGTTGTGTGGGTGTGCGCACAAGTAGATCGCGGCGTTTGTCGCGAGCCAGAGATTTTTTCTTCAATTGTGTGCCCTTTGTGCCTGTGGTGGCAAAAGGCACACACATTCAAATGCTCTATCATGTATTTCTTCGTCCAGTCAGGCATAATGAGAAGAATCTGATATATTTATATTCATTAAAAACTTAAATGACCTAAATGATATATTTATATATTATATTTTAATTTTTTTGTTAACTGTGGGGACCAATTTTGCTTAAAATTAAAAAAAAAATAAGTCGTATTTCTGCAAGGGTAATGCTTCGTCGGCTTGTCGAATAATTTAAGAAAAGACCAAACATTGAAAATGTTCAATTTTTTCGACTTGCTACTTGTGCACACGCACACTCTTTCGAGTAAGCAGTTGTGTGACATTATTAAAGGGTTTGGCCTGTTCATGTGCAAATCTCCTATTTTCCATGCATGGTGTAAGGGTAAGGGTACCTGAACGTTGGCATGTGTGCATAATAACTTTTTGGGCCTGCCAAGCACACATACTTACACACTTTTCTATATGGATGGAAGCATTTATGCGTTTGTGTGCGTGTTGGTTGCCTGCCTGCCTGCCCGATGCAAATTTGACCAAATTTGAAGTTTTTGGCATTTCTGAATTTCGAGCTCTACACACACACACACACACACACAAATGTGTGCGAATGAGCCGATCAAGGGTTTGTCGTGAAAGAGAGATATTTTCATCAATGGGTGCGTAAATTTGGGCGACGGTGGGCTTGCGGCCGCGTGAGGCACAAATGTGTGAACAGGCAACGAAAACAGGTGAACCGCACTTGCCGCTCGTTTGCACTTTGATATGGAAAAAATGCAAGTGATCTTTTTATGTATTTTTTGACATAGTAAACATTTTGGGTTAAAGGGTTATATGGCAGGCAATTAACGATAAGAATGTGCAGCATGCGTCTGCATCCATATCAAAGTGCAAAAGTGATGAAAATATCTCTGTCTCACGACAAACCCTTGATCGGCTCATTCGCACACATTTGTGTGTGTGTGTGTGTGTGTGTAGAGCTCGAAATTCAGAAATGCCAAAAACTCCAAATTTGGTCAAATTTGCATCGGGCAGGCAGGCAGGCAACCAACACGCACACAAACGCATAAATGCTTCCATCCATATAGAAAAGTGTGTAAGTATGTGTGCTTGGCAGGCCCAAAAAGTTATTATGCACACATGCCAACGTTCAGGTACCCTTACCCTTACACCATGCATGGAAAATAGGAGATTTGCACATGAACAGGCCAAACCCTTTAATAATGTCACACAACTGCTTACTCGAAAGAGTGTGCGTGTGCACAAGTAGCAAGTCGAAAAAATTGAACATTTTCAATGTTTGGTCTTTCTTAAATTATTCGACAAGCCGACGAAGCATTACCCTTGCAGAAATACGACTTATTTTTTTTTTAATTTTAAGCAAAATTGGTCCCCACAGTTAACAAAAAAATTAAAATATAATATATAAATATATCATTTAGGTCATTTAAGTTTTTAATGAATATAAATATATCAGATTCTTCTCATTATGCCTGACTGGACGAAGAAATACATGATAGAGCATTTGAATGTGTGTGCCTTTTGCCACCACAGGCACAAAGGGCACACAATTGAAGAAAAAATCTCTGGCTCGCGACAAACGCCGCGATCTACTTGTGCGCACACCCACACAACACAAACATATGTATGTATGTTTGTAGATCTCGGGGTTTTTGAGAAGCTATGCAGGGAGAAGGAGATGCACACAAGTGCGCAAAGCAATAAGTGTGAGCGAGGGGCGCTCTGCACACGCATATACACATATGTATGTTTTGGGCTGAAAAGATACATATATTACAAAACAGCATCAGCCGCAGCAACGTTGTGCGCTGAGCGGGATGCGGCTTCATACTGAACGTTCGGCTGTTGAGGCCGGCGTTCGGCTGCCACTCTCAGCAGTCTTACTTTGTCTGGTCACACTAAAATGGTCGCGGTCACCCATGGGGCTCAGTCGTTGACGATTTATCGGTATCCGATTATTTTGACATTTGACAAGTCTATGCATTGTATGGTTAGTGGTTGTATTCTATTAATTTTACCAGTTCCGTTATTTTAAATAGCAGGCTTGCCAGACCAAGCAAAAAGAGTAACATTTCAGCTGCGCCGATAAATATACATATATTTATCGAATCAACTAGGTTATCTTAATTTAACTTTTTATTAGTTTTAAAATTTTTTTAAGAATTCCGATTGTGACAGATTTAATTTATGCAGCATCGCGAATATATTGTCAATGCTTTAAAAAGCACAATACAATAATACTATATATAATACTAAAACATTTAAAAATAAATTCAATGGAATGGCCTCACTGATTTGGGTACTTTTATGACAGCTGAAATTCTGTTTAAAGCGCTGCTATTGCAAAAGAAATGTGCAATCCAATAAAACAATGCAATTAAAGAAATCCTATTAAACTCGCTGCTGCTTCGGTAATTTAGCGCGAGTGCACGTTCCATAGCAATAGTTGGTGAACCGTAAAAGCGTTCTGTAGTCCAGAATGTAGATAAGGAACTCGTGTTCGAATCTCAACTTATCGAATTATTTCAAACTACAAAAAATTGTATTTTTAAAATGCGGTTTATACGACGCGGCTTGCTAAAGCTGCTGCTGATAAGCAGTATATTGCTGATGATCGTTACATTTTTGTTCCTCAACGAGCCAGAGGAAATAGATAAAAGCATTAAAATGTAAGTGTTTGGAATTGATGGAACAATCATGTGTCTGCATGCATACATATATGTATGTAGATACACATTTTACTTGTTGTGGTTTTTTTTTTTGAAATATTCCGTATTCCAGCGAAATAATTGAGAGATCGATAAGGTCTGCTATGAATCAGGGCGAGTGCCGCCAGCCCCACTTGCCCGTGGATAATCCAGACATTATGAAATTCTATAAGCCGGTCGACAAAATAAACTGCGGCTCCAAGCCGGATTGGGTGATGTGCGAGGTAAATGCTAATTAATACGTGCGTATTTAGCTTTATTGAATGTATGCTTTGTATGTATATATATGTTTATTTGCACGCATGTTTATCTTTTGAACGGTGGAGCTGAAAAGTGACTTCGTTTGTACCTTTTTCATTTAAAACTTTTTTTTACCGGACGTATCATGTGTAAACATGCTTTGCACATTTGAAAATGATTAACTAAGTGAATTTCTTACGCAGAAATCGATATGTTTTGTCAAGCCCGAGATAACAGCAGTACACGGCGATATAACATGCTCGTATACAGATATAATACGCACATCGGACTATACCGCTCGCTTTGGACGAACCGTAAGGATCAAGGAGCCATATGTGCTCCAGCATAGCGATTTCGTTCGGGTTGCGTGTCATGCGGATAGCGGTGAGAGATGGTTTGGCATGGCATTGGGAATTCGGGACACTGTGCCACGACCAATGGCTCCCAATTTGGCGCCCAATATGGTTATGCTGCCAGCCGAGGCAGTTGCCCAGGCACAACAACAGATGCAGGACCTGCCGACGACACCCTTTTACAATGTTTTGATGTTTGGCTTCGATTCGCTGAGTCGGAACGCCTTCATGCGTAAGCTACCGCGCAGCTATGCCTATTTAACTCAGCAGCTAGGTGCCATTGTACTGCAGGGCTATAATATTGTGGGTGATGGAACCCCACAGGCGCTGGTACCCTTACTCACAGGGTATACAGAACTGGAGCTGCCGGAGACAAGGAAACGGGTGGCATCCGCGGGCAGCGTCGATTCCTATCCGATGATTTGGCAGGATTTTGCCCGGCTCGGCTACTTGACCTCATTTAACGAGGATCTACCATATGTTGGCACCTTCACATATCGAATGAACGGATTCGATGCCCAGCCCGTGGATCATTATTTACGTACTTTTTACATGCAGGCATCAAACATGCTGAGCGGCAGTGAGCCCAACTGTGTTGGCAACCAGCCAGATCATTTAATCATGCTGGATTACACCAAGAATGTAAGTGGGACAAATGATTTCAAAAATTTCATAATTGAATTAGTTCTTTTGCAGTTTATGATGAAGTATCGTGACTTGCCACGCTTTGTGTTTAGCTTTCACGGCGGCCTCTCGCACGACTCTATTAATCTAGTGGGTGCAGCCGATGACGATGTGCACGATTGGCTGGTGACGCTCAAAGAGAAGTCCCTGCTCGACGATACCATACTAATATTTATGGCTGATCATGGCAATCGGTTTGCCGAGGTGCGCGCCACGCTGCAGGGCAAACAGGAGGAACGTCTGCCCTTCTTTAGTTTCGTATTTCCCGAATCCTTTAAAAAGCGCTTTCCGCAGGAGTATAATAATTTTGTTGCCAACGAGCACCGACTCGCCACACCCTTTGATGTACATGCCACGCTCAAGCACCTGATACGTAAGTTTACTTCAGGATCGAACGCAATATCAAAATTTTAATTATCCTTTCTGGTTCCACAGAGCTTCAAACATCTGGTCTGAACTACCTGATGCCTGAAAACAGCTACGATGGCTCCATCAATGAAGCCGTTCAGCCAAAAGAGATACACATCTCAGAACAGGCGCTGGGACGCGCCATATCGCTCTTTGAGCCCATACCCAGCAATCGTTCCTGTGCCGATGCATACATTGAGCCTCATTGGTGCGCTTGCCTCAAATGGCAGCCGTTGCAGCTGAACGATAGCCGCTACGAGGGCATCATTCTCAAAGCGGCCAGCAGCATTGTGGAGACTATCAATGCGGCAACGCAAGAGCGCCGGAATCTTTGTGCACCACTCCAGCTGCTAAAAATCAACTGGGCACTGCGCCTGGAACCACACAAGGAACTATTGCAGTTCAAGTCCAATAGGGATACGGATGGCTTTCTGGCCGATATGAGCGGTCACACTGTGGTGCATGAGGAGTTATATCAGCTGCAGCTAGTCACCCAGCCAGGCCAGGCATTGTATGAGGCCAGTGTTGTCCACAATTTGCACACATTTATTGTCACAAGCAAACTCTCGGATATATCGCGTGTCAACAAATACGGCACGCAGGCGAAATGTATATACGAACGCGATCCGGAACTGCGCAAGTTTTGCTACTGCCGGAACCGAAACTAGTCAATGCACAATCTGCACTGAACTTATTATAAGAATACAGTGGAGTATAACCTATAAGACTTTAGTTTTCCTAATTCTTTACATATATTATGTATGGAATATGAAATTACTTTTATATTCATGTGCCAAAGACACTCATCTCTTGTCACAACTTTAAGTTTGTAGAGCTCTTTGTACTAGTTCCTTAGCACAACTCAACTCAAATATTGATAAAAACCAAATTTTGAAATAAAAAAAACAAAAGAGTCTTAAGTTCTGTGTTTTGTTCAATGAAAACTATTTTATAATTTATGATATTGTAGAATGACACTTCGTGTATGACAACATATACATAATACATATGAAAGATACCCAACCGAACATTTAACTCAATTAATAAGAAGGTATTTATGCATTTGTATATTGTATATATATTTTTATTTGAATATTCTCAAAAACGTTGCTTATATACTTGCGTTCATACTACATTAATTACAGATGCATCAATGTGTGTTATTTGTGTAATATTACTGCCTGTATAAATTCGTAATCGCGTAGTATTGCTATATACATATAAGGGGCTTTTTTATGAAATTGAGTTTGGCAAACATTTTGTAAATAACCAACCGCATATAGCAAAATTCTGATATTGTAACTTGTAACTTGGTAATGTACTCGCCTTTTAAATGCTAAAAGGCAGATATATAGTCCGGCAAACAATTTCGAAACATATGTTAATCATATTTCAACGGATTTTTTTGAGTAATGGGCTATAACACTTTGTGTACGTTTCATTTGCCAATATTTTTTAAATGGCACGTTTCAATCGTCTGTCTGGTCTGTTAAAATGTATTAATTATTGCATGTGTTTATGTAAATATATATATATAAATATATATGTGTTTAACTGTTATAATTTATTAGTATAATTATTTTTGTATAAGTAACTGTAATATATCGCACACGGTACGAATCTTAACTTTGGATTGAATGCGAAAGTTTGAGCTTTCTCTTTGCTTTCACAATACTTCTAATATTATTTAAAAAAAAAAAATATTTATTTGTTGTTAAAACCTATTGTATCGAGCATGATTTATTTGTAGAAAAATACAAAAAAAAATCAATAAATATTTATTGAACAAAATAGCATCAGATGTAATAAACAAGTAGGGAACTAATAAAAAAAAAGTATACTAGGACCGAAACAGAATAATATAGTTAAAATATGTTAAGTAATTGTTATGTAGTATCTAAAAGATAGCCTTTCACTGAGCGGGCGTTTCCGCCTGCCTGCAAAAGTATCGCATACTTTACAATATAGGCTCCTTGAACACCCGCTCTTAGACAACTTATAATCTAAACAGACAAATGGCCAATACACGATGCCAATACAACTTGGGGGTGTACCTAATTGGGGACTTTGCATTGCATTTCAGATGTTAAACTAATTGTAAATTGTAATGATTATTTGGTTATGTGCATGAGAGAGTTATCTGAGTGTGCATCTCGTTTAGCTATAGGCTGCCGTTGCCGCCGCTGTGCCCGCTGACATTTTGTGTCACGATACGGAGGTCGCCAGAAACTCTTGGAGTCGCTGCACGGTGCCGCGATCCAATTTGCACAGATCAAAGTCGAACGTTTTATGGGTGATCTCATAGCAGCCGGTGGCGGCGATCATTTCGACAACCTGCTGCAGTTCCTCGTTATCCTGCAGCGTCATTATCTTGTGATGCAGCTCCTGCAGTTCGTTCAGGTATTCTGTGGGCAATGGCGTATAGTTGCCGCCGCCGCCAGCGCTTAGCGGCTGATTCAGTGGCTCCACGGGCGAATGGCCGCTGTTGCTATTGTTGTTGTTTATTGCTGGACAGCTGTTGTTGTTATTGTTGTTGTTGTTATTATGGCTGCTCGGCGAAGAGCCAACACTGTTGTTGCCCGCTGACGCTGCCGATGCTGCTGGTCCCTGTCGCAGCGATGGCGACTTGGATTTCTCGCGCGTCGACTTGCTCGCCTGCTCCTTCTTTGTGGATTTCAGTGGCGGCTCAATGAAAGTGGTTGCAGCATTGCTGTTGCCGCTGTTGCTATTCTGCGAGTTGCGTCGATTGCGTTTCTTTTCCTCCTTGAGGTCCGCCTTGTCTAGCTTCTCCGCTTTGGCCTCTGGCGACTTGTCCAGCTTCTCAGACTTTTCCGACTTTTCAGCCGACTTTGACTTGACTTTGTGCTCTTTGCCCGCATTATCAGACGCTTTGGTATCCTTTGCATGCGCACTGTTCTGTGCACTCTTTGCGGACGCTGAGCTCTTTTGTTGGCTGTTTTTTGCCGGCAGATCGGGAAAACTGCTATTGGAGCTGTCTGAATGCTGCAGCGTGGCGGCTGTTGCTGCTGCCAGTGCACTGGTGGCTGCCAGGTCTGGAGCCGATTGAGCCGAATCCATGTCGCTCAAGTCCAAATTGCTAGAGCCCTTAATTTGCGCCTGCGCCGCTCCAGCAGCTGCTGGTGCTACTGTAGATGTCGCCGCCGCCGCCGCCTGTTTATTGCTGTGCTTACTAGCCGCGTCGCGCTGGCGTTTCTCCTCCTTGCTGGCGGTCTTATCCTTCGATTTTTTATGCTTCTCTTTCTTGCTGATTACAGCTACAGTTTTATCCGTGCTGCTTTCGGTCTGCTGCTGGCTGCTCAGTTCTGTTTTAAGTGATATTTCAGTTGCTGCTGCTGCTGCTGGCTTGTCCGCTGAAGATGCCTGCTGCGCCTGTTGCTGCTGTGCCTTATCCTTTTCACGGTCTTTGGGCTTGTCCTTGTCGCGCTCCTTTTCCTTTTCCTTGTCCTTGTCGCGTTCGCTGCGCTCCTTGTCTTTATCTTTATCCTTGTCTTTGTCTTTGCTCTTGTCCTTCTTTTTGTGCTTGTGCGATTTCTTGTCCGCGTTGCTATTGCCATTGCTGCTCATCGTTTTGTCGGCTTTGGTTTCGGCGACTTTCTCGGCGGATTTTGTCGACGCTGTGGCTGATTGTGCCGCTGCCCCAGTCAGCTCCTCTTTGTCTTGGGCACGCTTACCGCTGCTGGAGGCTAGACTGCTGGCGCTCGCGCTGCTACCCAGTGAATTGGGCGTGGCCTTGCCGGTAGTCTTTAGGGCATCGTAGTTGGTTTGAGATTGTTGCGACTGTAATGCTTGCGTTTGATTGCTGCTGCTACCAGTAGCCGGACTGTCGCCGTGTCCGCGCTCATCCTTTAGAGCACGTTTATCTTTGTCGCGCTCCTCGCGCTGCTTTTCCCGCTCGCGCTCACGCTCCTTGTCTTTTTTCTCTTTTTTCGACTTTTTGTTCGAGCTTCGCTCCTTGTCCTTTGACTCAGATTTACCTGCTGACTTGTGCTCGTCGCGCTCCTTGGAACGAGCATTTGGCGTGCCAGCGGCATTGTCCGCCACCTGCTTCTTGGGACTCATTTCGGTTAAGCCGCTTCTGGCGCCAGCCTTGGGGCTGACCGTGCGCCTGACCAGTGCACCAGTGACTGCTGCAAGTGAGCCGCTACTGCTTTGATCGCGTTCGCGCTCCTTGTCGCGCGTTTTGTCCTTCTTTGATTTATCTTTGTCTTTGTCATGCTTGCTGCTGCTGCTCTCGCCGGATTTGCCAGATTTGCGCTCCTTGTCTCGGCCATGCCGATCCTTCTTGTCCTTTTCGCGCGGCTTGTCTGAACTGGTCGACTTGTCGCGTTCCTTACCGGACTTCTCTTTAGTATCATGTGACCCGATCTTACTGCTACTGGAGCCGGTTTGTAGCTTGGCGTCTGGTGAATGTTTGGGCGCAGTTATAGCCAGCAGATTAGCCCCGGCCACACTGCCTTTGGTAATGGGCGGGCCAAAGACTGCGGAGAAGGCGTTCACCTTGCCATCGTCAGGGCGCGATTTGTGCTTCTTACTGGATCCGGAACCAGACTCGATCACCATGCTGCTGCCTCCACCCTTCGCTTTCACCAGGTTCAACTCCGATCCGGATAAGTCACCTCCAACGCTGGGTGACACTGTTCGGCTGAGACTGCCGGCAGCAGCAATGTTGGCACCAAAAACGGGTACGCCGCCGCCACGCATCAATTTGGCACGAAACTCCTCCGAAGGCGCCTCAAAGACATGCGTTTTGACTTCAACGCGATGTCGAGGCGGTCCCGAATTTTGCAGATCCAAATCATATTGATACATAACGCGCTTCGGCTCGTCCCTATTCCGAAAATGTATCTCAACGGGTAGTATGAAGCCGGCATAGCCCGACTCCTGTATGGCATAAGGTGGCTCTTTGATAACTGAAAAACAAAAATTGATTTTTGGCGCGCAAATTGAAAACAAATATGAACGCAAAATCTTACCACGCTTTGGCTTGGGAAATGATTCATGGAGTATAAAGACGACCTTGTCAACGAATGCGCTTATGTCTGCCTTATTCACGCCCTGCACATAAATCTCCCAATCGTGGGTGAAGGCCTGCGGATGTTTCTTGCTGCGCAGCTTTGATGTGTGACCAATTTCGAACTGCACCTTGACTGCCATATCGAAGACGCCGGCAACGGTAACGCATCAAACTTCTATAGCGGCTATATCAATATTCTGCAAGAGTTTTCGTATATAAACAAAAGTTTGTGCAATTTGGCTGCTCCACTCTGAGGCGGCGCAGTGTGAGTGTCTGCTAGAGTTTTATATGTGTTGGTGTACCTTAACGCAAGGTGCCATGTGCAAGGCTAGTGCAACAATAGATTATAGTTTATTGATCTGCGATTGTATGCTCTTCACTGTAAAAGTGCGTGTAAAGCCCACTTCAACACTAGCTTTTTTTATTTAATAACAAATACGGGCAATGAAAACGAAAACACTCGCACCACATACACATTGGGTAATATCGATATCGATATATGTAAATAACATGGATAATTAGACATTACAACTCTGGTCTCGTACTGAAAGGTTATCGGGTTTAAACATTCGATAGAACACCATTTCTTGTCTGATCAATCAAATTCGAATAATTCCAATTAGGACATGATGGCAATGCCATCAAAGGTAATAAATTTGATTATGTTTGTATAACATAACTTTGAAACTCATTGTCAAAAATTGTTATTAGCTTAAAGCTAAACATGATATCAATTAGCTTACATTAATCAATAACTTAACAAAGTAGGTAAATAAATACCGAAAAAGTGTTCACCGAACATCTCTGAATATCCAAATTGATTTAAAATCGATTGCCTTTTAAAATACCATCGATAATATACACGATAGTTATTGGGAGCAGCTGATTTGCCATTCGCGTGCAACTGTAAAAACAATAAAATGTTTTGCGAAAAAAAACCGCAATAAAACTTTGGAAAATTGCAATAAACTAGATGTAAGACAACGCCCACATATTATTATATTGTTCCAACATGGCTAGCGACTATAGCGCAAGCCAATTTGTGTCCACAAACACATGTGCAGCAAGTGCAGCTAGCTCCTCACGCTGGCTAACAGAGGAAGTCTTCAAGTTGATCGATATTGTGCAACGCGATGAGGCCATCTACAATCCCCGACACAAATATTACTTTTGCCGGCCATATGTGGAGAACTTTTGGCGTGAAGTGGACTTAAAGTTGGAAAAGAATCCCGGCGCTAGCCTTGCCAAATGGACAAATCTGCGCATTTCATTTCGACGCGAGTACACAAACTACTTGGAAGAGAAAGTGCCGCCGTGCTGGTCGTACTTTGATCGCATGTTCTTTCTGCATCCATACTTGCGCAAAAAGCATCAGCAGCCCAAATCGCTGGATACCCAGGTTCAAGATGCACTAGCGCACCTGACCAGCCTCTCAAGTCGGATGCAGCGGGAACGGTCAGTTAATACGTGCACAGCGGCCAATACCACAAATACCAACAGCACAGCTCAGGTGAATCCCAGCAATGCTGTCCACTCGGCACAGCAGTCGCCGCAGCAGCAACAGTTGGACAATTATTTGGATTATTTTGATGATCACGATAACAACAACTCGGAGCTCGATGAGATTATTGATGAGGAGCACCGGGCACGTTTCCAAAATCATACGCTCGACAACAATGACATCAAATCGGAGTGCGAGGAGCCAGTTGATGATTACGAAGCAGACCCTGAGCAGCGCGTTCACCAACATCAGGATGAGGATGAGCATGAGCACGAAGAGCATGAAATGCGCACTCTGCCATATGATGCGACGGTAACGGCTTCGGCACCCAGTTCCACATCAACGCCCTCTTCTCTGGCGCTAGAGAAGCGCTACACGCATTACCAACAGCAGGCTAGCAGTAGCAGCAACAACCGGATGCAGCACATGAATCGCCTGCAGTTACGCACATACCATGAGGAGGCACGGGCGCTGCGCTCACGCTCACAGGAGCTGCAAGGTGCAGCTGCTGCTGCTGCAGTCAGCTCCTCTTTGTCTTGGGCACGCTTACCGCTGCTGGAGGCTAGACTGCTGGCGCTCGCGCTGCTACCCAGTGAATTGGGCGTGGCCTTGCCGGTAGTCTTTAGGGCATCGTAGTTGGTTTGAGATTGTTGCGACTGTGATGCTTGCGTTTGATTGCTGCTGCTACCAGTAGCCGGACTGTCGCCGTGTCTGCGCTCATCCTTTAGAGCACGTTTATCTTTGTCGCGCTCCTCGCGCTGCTTAACAAACTAATTTCCAAATTAACCAATCTCTATCAACTTCCTGGAGCATTATAATTATTCAATATGCACATGCATTCCGCTCTGCATACTAGAATAGAGACAATGCCAAGACCGCAACCGTGTATGTTCTAGTTATGCTGTCGGCAGCTTGTTCATATTACAATTTCTCGTACAGTTGAACAACTCCCATAGTCTTTAATTTCCAAATTAACCAATCTTCATAATCTTTGATTTATCTTTGTCTTTGTCATGCTTGCTGCTGCTGCTCTCGCCGGATTTGCCAGATTTGCGCTCCTTGTCTCGGCCATGCCAATCCTTCTTGTCCTTTTCGCGCGGCTTGTCTGAACTGGTCGACTTGTCGCGTTCCTTACCGGACTTCTCTTTAGTATCATGTGACCCGATCTTACTGCTACTGGAGCCGGTTTGTAGCTTGGCGTCTGGTGAATGTTTGGGCGCAGTTATAGCCAGCAGATTAGCCCCGGCCACACTGCCTTTGGTAATGGGCGGGCCAAAGACTGCGGAGAAGGCGTTCACCTTGCCATCGTCAGGGCGCGATTTGTGCTTCTTACTGGATCCGGAACCAGACTCGATCACCATGCTGCTGCCTCCACCCTTCGCTTTCACCAGGTTCAACTCCGATCCGGATAAGTCACCTCCAACGCTGGGTGACACTGTTCGGCTGAGACTGCCGGCAGCAGCAATGTTGGCACCAAAAACGGGTACGCCGCCGCCACGCATCAATTTGGCACGAAACTCCTCCGAAGGCGCCTCAAAGACATGCGTTTTGACTTCAACGCGATGTCGAGGCGGTCCCGAATTTTGCAGATCCAAATCATATTGATACATAACGCGCTTCGGCTCGTCCCTATTCCGAAAATGTATCTCAACGGGTAGTATGAAGCCGGCATAGCCCCACTCCTGTATGGCATAAGGTGGCTCTTTGATCACTGAAAAACAAAAATTGATTTTTGGCGCGCAAATTGAAAACAAATATGAACGCAAAATCTTACCACGCTTTGGCTTGGGAAATGATTCATGGAGTATAAAGACGACCTTGTCAACGAATGCGCTTATGTCTGCCTTATTCACGCCCTGCACATAAATCTCCCAATCGTGGGTGAAGGCCTGCGGATGTTTCTTGCTGCGCAGCTTTGATGTGTGACCAATTTCGAACTGCACCTTGACTGCCATATCGAAGACGCCGGCAACGGTAACGCATCAAACTTCTATAGCGGCTATATCAATATTCTGCAAGAGTTTTCGTATATAAACAAAAGTTTGTGCAATTTGGCTGCTCCACTCTGAGGCGGCGCAGTGTGAGTGTCTGCTAGAGTTTTATATGTGTTGGTGTACCTTAACGCAAGGTGCCATGTGCAAGGCTAGTGCAACAATAGATTATAGTTTATTGATCTGCGATTGTATGCTCTTCACTGTAAAAGTGCGTGTAAAGCCCACTTCAACACTAGCTTTTTTTATTTAATAACAAATACGGGCAATGAAAACGAAAACACTCGCACCACATACACATTGGGTAATATCGATATCGATATATGTAAATAACATGGATAATTAGACATTACAACTCTGGTCTCGTACTGAAAGGTTATCGGGTTTAAACATTCGATAGAACACCATTTCTTGTCTGATCAATCAAATTCGAATAATTCCAATTAGGACATGATGGCAATGCCATCAAAGGTAATAAATTTGATTATGTTTGTATAACATAACTTTGAAACTCATTGTCAAAAATTGTTATTAGCTTAAAGCTAAACATGATATCAATTAGCTTACATTAATCAATAACTTAACAAAGTAGGTAAATAAATACCGAAAAAGTGTTCACCGAACATCTCTGAATATCCAAATTGATTTAAAATCGATTGCCTTTTAAAATACCATCGATAATATACACGATAGTTATTGGGAGCAGCTGATTTGCCATTCGCGTGCAACTGTAAAAACAATAAAATGTTTTGCGAAAAAAAACCGCAATAAAACTTTGGAAAATTGCAATAAACTAGATGTAAGACAACGCCCACATATTATTATATTGTTCCAACATGGCTAGCGACTATAGCGCAAGCCAATTTGTGTCCACAAACACATGTGCAGCAAGTGCAGCTAGCTCCTCACGCTGGCTAACAGAGGAAGTCTTCAAGTTGATCGATATTGTGCAACGCGATGAGGCCATCTACAATCCCCGACACAAATATTACTTTTGCCGGCCATATGTGGAGAACTTTTGGCGTGAAGTGGACTTAAAGTTGGAAAAGAATCCCGGCGCTAGCCTTGCCAAATGGACAAATCTGCGCATTTCATTTCGACGCGAGTACACAAACTACTTGGAAGAGAAAGTGCCGCCGTGCTGGTCGTACTTTGATCGCATGTTCTTTCTGCATCCATACTTGCGCAAAAAGCATCAGCAGCCCAAATCGCTGGATACCCAGGTTCAAGATGCACTAGCGCACCTGACCAGCCTCTCAAGTCGGATGCAGCGGGAACGGTCAGTTAATACGTGCACAGCGGCCAATACCACAAATACCAACAGCACAGCTCAGGTGAATCCCAGCAATGCTGTCCACTCGGCACAGCAGTCGCCGCAGCAGCAACAGTTGGACAATTATTTGGATTATTTTGATGATCACGATAACAACAACTCGGAGCTCGATGAGATTATTGATGAGGAGCACCGGGCACGTTTCCAAAATCATACGCTCGACAACAATGACATCAAATCGGAGTGCGAGGAGCCAGTTGATGATTACGAAGCAGACCCTGAGCAGCGCGTTCACCAACATCAGGATGAGGATGAGCATGAGCACGAAGAGCATGAAATGCGCACTCTGCCATATGATGCGACGGTAACGGCTTCGGCACCCAGTTCCACATCAACGCCCTCTTCTCTGGCGCTAGAGAAGCGCTACACGCATTACCAACAGCAGGCTAGCAGTAGCAGCAACAACCGGATGCAGCACATGAATCGCCTGCAGTTACGCACATACCATGAGGAGGCACGGGCGCTGCGCTCACGCTCACAGGAGCTGCAAGGTGCAGCTGCTGCTGCTGCAGCGACAGCGGCGGCGGCTGCTGGCGCTGCCAATTTACAAACCCACTCAAATATTTCGTTTGTGCGTCCAACCTTCAGTAGCAAGCCCGTTGACATGGTGAGCACCACAACGCATACCAATGCAACTGTTGCTGGCATCGTTGCAGCATCCACAACCGACAGTGAGCTGCCGTCGCCATCAAGCGTTGCGGCCACTGCCACGCCCAGCAGCGCCTATCTGAGCCAACGTCACGTGCATGTGGCGCATTCGCACGCCCACACACATCATCAGGGGACGCCGTCCCAGCGACTGGAGGTGAACAACTCGTCTGCCGCTGTAGCCACAGCCAACACAGTGGATCTGTGCGACTGCAAGACCGATTCGGATGCCATGTTTCTGATGAGCCTGTTGCCCGACATACAGAAACTGAATGGACGGGATCGCGGCAAAATTAAAATAGCTTTCCAAAACATATTGCAGGATTACTTGTATCCCGACTAATCGCGACTTTAAGTCATTGCGGCTGCTAGTCAAGATCTCCCCCTGCAAAATCGTTGTCGATTTATTGTTAAGTTGTTCGATCGGCACAGCCGAAACATTTCATTTGCGTTCGCGTAATTCCTTAAAGCTTTGCTGTCCAGAAAAAAAACAACATAGTATCCTTAAATTGTAACCTAAAGGTAGCTCCTTTAAACAAAATGTGTTATAAATTATTTTATTTATATGTATACATACATAAATACTTTATGTTTAAAACAAGAAATTCATTCAAAATGTACAGTAACTGTTCATGGCTATAGCTAAGCAGTTCCTATTCGGAATCAATTGATTTAATCAGGTTTTTAATAATTATACAGAATTTGAACACTTCTGTTTGATAAATATCTAACGAAAATTATTAAATCTAAATTCATAGCACATATTAGTTTATTAATCAAAGAGCTTTAGGTCGCGCGCTATCTTCTGTATCTTGTTGTCCAGCGTCTTGTCCTCGTACTCACAAATATAATAATGCCTGGATGTACAATCCTGACCGTAGTACACATAGCTGTGCTTGCCCGCATTGTAGCTCAGACGCAGGCAGCGTCCCTTTCCCTCAATTTGCACTGTATTGTTGAGAACATCGTTGTCGTCCGTCGTTTCCTCGCTGCTGTCCACCAGATTGGCGGCCGTTGAGTTGTCAGCCTTTTGTGACATGGCTATTGATGTGAGGTTCGTATTCGGATTGACGGGCTTGGCGGAGTTAGACCAAATCCACAAAAGACCCGGATTGAGACCACCTAGCCAGTAATCGCGCCCCCTATGCGCCGGCTGATTAAGTAAATAGGCCATAATCTCCTCGTTCTCGGACACCTTCTCGAATTCGGCCAGGTGTGCAGAGAGTCCCTTGCAGGCGGTGTTTGCCGTCTTCCAGTTCACCTGGTGCTGGCTATTTATATAGTAGCAATTGTCACTAATGCGCGTAAAATTCGCAGGGCAGGGATCACGCACTTCCTTCTGGTTGTTGCCGGCCATTAGATAATAGATTAATTGTTCCGCACGTCGCACGCGACTTTCCAAATAATCTGCATGAAAAAAAATGCATCAACATTTTTCAACACTGTTTGAATTCATGAAAATCGCAAAGAAAGGTGACCGATAGAAAGAGCGTGTTAAAGAGAGAGACAGAGAGAGAGAGAGACAGAGAGAGAGAGAGAGAGAGAGAACGAGATAAAGCGCAAGGGAGTGGGGAAAATGAGCAAGAAAAAGCGAGGAATTGTGAGAGAAGGAGAGCGAGTCACTTACTCGCTTTCTCTGAAATATTACCTTTCTATGCAATTTTCATGAATTTATGATTTGAATGCAAATAATTGTGATCGAATAGGAATCAAATTGTTATCAACTGGGATGAAAAGTACGTATTTTGGAAGGTTAGGATTTCAGATTTAAATATCTGTACAGAGCTGGCGACTCAGATTGTAGATCAAATATATATACTGTTTAGATTCGGATATATATATAAATCCATTTGTACAACTTGTACATATTTTGCACAGATATTTTCTTACCAACACGATAGACAAGCTTCTCGATGGCGCCCAGCAGATACAGGTCGTTTTCGGAAACGGCTCGAAATGTGCCCGGCGGGCTGCCATGTGGCGCCAAATGCTGCTGCTGCTGCTGCTGAGAGTGTGGCGGCGGCTGCTGCAGCGGCACTGGCCGCATATGCGCCTGAGGCGGAGGTGGAGGTGGAGGTGGAGCTGTGGGTCCATTGCTGCCACCGCCGCCTCCAGAGCCGCCAAAGCCAAAAAGCTGTTGCAAGAAACCGGGTTGCTGGCGCTGCTGCTGCTGTTGCTGCTGCTGCTGCTGGTGCAGCATTTGGTTCGTCATGGGCCGGAACTGAGGATTGGCAATCGGGCCTTGGCCATCCACCGGCGTGCGCAGATGTGGCTCCAGCTCGACAGCTTCGCCAATGCGGCGCGTTATGTAAATGTTGTTGCCGGGCCGTTTGTACGCCGAGGAATGATAATTAATGGGTCCGCCCATCTCCCCGCCCATAAAGGTCAGATCTTTGGACATGCGCTGGCTGCTGCTGCCCTGGCTGCAAAGTGGCACATTTGAAACAACTAATCCATTTTGGCATCAACTTACACACAACACACACACACACCTCAAAACATAATCTTCGAGAAATTGCGACCAATTCGGCGCCTCAGTCAACGATTCATTTGCGTATTTTTGCACAGTTTCACTCTGCGCCTTGCATAACCGAGGGCAAAGGCCCAGACATAAAATCATCATAAAGACACGACGACACATAATTGTTTTCGACATGACGACACATGTAATCTTCGCACTATCCACCGTTTAAAGATTCCAGTCACAGCCCAAGCAAATTAATAAATATGGAAAATCACTTTCGGTTTCTTCCACTTGCGACCGCTTCGTGTGGGATACAAACTGAGACTGAGCTGAGCAAGTGGACCTGTGGTTGGGGGCTCCGTCATGACCATGGCAATGTCTCTGCTTTTTTATACCCTTGCAGAGGGTATTACAATTTTGTCGTGAAATGTGTAACGCATAGAAGGAGACATATCCGACCCCATTAAGTATATACATATATTCATGATCAGTATCAACAGCCGAGTCGATATAGCCATGTCCGTCTGTCCGTCTGTCTGTTTCTATGCGAACTAGTCTCTCAGTTTTAAAGCTATCGTCATGAAACTTTGCCGAAGTTCCTCTTTCGGAGCACTATGTCATATAGCTGCCAGAGAAACGATCGGTCAAAAAGTTGGTTCTTGTATGAAAAACTTTTTTGTTTATCAAGATATCTTGACCAAACTCGGCATTTATTAATTTTACTATGCTACTCATATATATACAAAATCCTAACAACATCGGAGCACTATATCATATAGCTGCCATAGGAACGATCGGTCGAAAAGTTGGTTCTTGTATGAAAAACTTTTTTGTTTATCAAGATATCTTGACCAAACTCGGCATTTATTTGTTTTACTATGCTTCTCATATATATGCAAAATCCTATTAAGATCGGACCACTATATCATATAGCTGCCATAGGAACGATCGGTCGAAAAGTTGGTTCTTGTATGAAAAACTTTTTTGTTTATCAAGATATCTTGACAAAACTCGGCATTTATTAATTTTACCATGCTACTCATATATATACAAAATCCTAACAACATCGGACCACGATATCATATAGCTGCGATACGAAAGATCGGTCGAAAATAAAGTTGTTGTATAGAAAACTTTTTTGTTTATCAATATATCTTGACCAAACTCGCCATTTAAAAGTTTTACCATGTTCCACACTTTAATGGAAAATCTTATTTACATCGGACTACTATATCATATAGCTCCCATAGTAACGATCGGTCATAAATTAAGTTGTATGGAAAACTTTTTGTTTTTCAAGATATCTTAACCATACTCGCCATTAACTATTTTCCCTGTGCTTCTTAGATACGGGCAAAGCACTATGAGCATAATGAAAAGGTTGGGTCTGCAAGGGTATTAAATCTTCGGCGTGCCGAAGATAGCCCGTCTTGCTCGTTGTATTTTGTTTCTTTTTTACCTGCCTCAAATGCAAAATTTCACTTTCTCCGACGCTCTTCACGAATGTAAGTCATTGGGTTTCTGTTTGGATTGTTGGCGACTTCTTTTTTAGCTTTGTTTGTTGAATTCATTGAGATTGTGTTTCATTGTTTACTCGAGTTTTGATGATAAATACATATTCATTATAAATCATGAATGGCAGTTATTATCGCAAATGTCGATGGCCTTAGAAGCTAGCATTCCCTCCCGTTAGTTATTATATTCTTTTTTTTGTATAATAATTAATCACGCTAATAATAGTAACAATATTATTCAATTTTCTTAATTAACTATTTTCATTGCACAAATCAGGCTTAAAACAAATGATCTATATTGTAAATCAACACATTCTAAGATCAATTTATTTGCATTTGAATCATTCAAAATATCAAATAAACAAACAATGCAAATGAAAATAATATTCTTCATATCATAATGCTGAAACTAGAAGATTCAGAGTTTCGATATTGGCCTATTAAAATCAAAACAATTTATATATTTAATAAATAATTTTCATTGAATAAGTAAATAAATAAAATAAAAAAAAATAAAATATAGATATATATATATATGTAACCTGGAGCCAACGAAAAATTCAACTACCAACCTTTTTGTAAATATATTGATATAAAATCTGAATAGTAACTAGTATATATATATATATCTAAGACTTCAACTACAACTATAAAATCTTGATAGTACCTATGAGGGCTTATATTAGGGAGTTATAGACGCAAGCAGCATATTTAATTCATACAATAATTTTAGTTTAATGAATGAATGACTTTCTATATATAAGATCGCTTACTTAACAGATTTCAATAGATACAAGATTTTGATAGTTGAAAGTCTCTGCCAGAATTTAAAATTTAATTTCTGACCCATATTTTAACTTCTTTTTAACATTTGCTTAAAAATATTAAGCTCGAATAAATATAACACTATTTCTACCTTTTCAATTTTTAGCTTGAAATTATTTTCTAAATTGAATCATTTTTTCATAATTTACTTTTTGATAATTAAATTAAGTTAATAATCCTCGACAAAAACAAATAAAAAGAGAATAATTTGAAAAACTTGTTCCACTTTTATTAGCTAAATTAATTTAACAATCAATTAATGAATTATCAAAAATTAATTAAGAAACAAATATTCAAAAAGTGTTAATCAATTACAACTTTTTTTTTTACAATTTCTTCACTTTCATTCATCAGCTCAATTAAAGGAAAGGGCAGTTGAGTTTGCACAAAATTGAAGCTTCATTAATAAACCGATTTCGGTGAACTGATTTGGGGCCGATTGATGGCTTTGGAGACGGGCGCTCCAAGGCTATTATAGGCGGCATCCCAAAAGTCTTGGAGCGCGTTTCTCTCTCTGCGCCCACATGGAGGTGCTCTCGAAAAAAGATAGTATTATTTCGAGTTGGTTGCCGTGTGTTCAAGTATTCATGTTTGACTTTCATTATGACTTATTTTGACTACCTAAATTAGCCATCGACTTGACGATGTTGCAATGAAGGTCTCTCCGCATCATGTTCATGTTGTTTGCCTTTTGGCTTTTTGGCGTCCGCTTCGATGACGCATTTGTCAATCTTGTTTTTCGGGGGGGTTTTCCCAAAAGCTGAATAAGTGTGTTTGGCATTTTCAAGATGCCATCAATGTCGGCGGCAAATATTTCACAATTTGTGCCCAAGAAGTTTTGAGTTTTTCAATTGTACGAAATCTGTATATTAATCGTAAATCGATTTTTTTTTAAATAAGGATAATTATTTCTTATAGATAATAATCGATTAGGAAATACGAAATCGATATATATATCGGTTTATAAAGGTTCAGGGCATTTTCAATTCGATAACTCTGAGCTAGAGTATACTTAAATGCAAACCTTTCTGAAATCGAAAAGAAAATATAGCAATACGTATATAACATATATTTCACGTCTTTGAAACTATCGATAGAAAAGTATGGAATCGATATTTGTCGATTAATAGACCTGAATTTAAAGGTTCAAGGTATTTCCAATTCAATAACTCTGAGCTCGAGTATATTTTAATGCAAGACTTTCTGAAACCGAAAAGAAAATAAGGCAAAACGTATATATCACATCTTTGAAACTATCGATTAGGAAATACGAAATCGATATTTATCGATTAATCGTCCAGAATTTAAAGATTCAGTGTGTTTCCAATTCAATAACTCTGAGCTGGAGATTATTTTAATGCCATGGAAATAACGCAAAACGTATATAACGTATGAAATCGATATTTATCGATTAAAAGACCGGAATTTTAAAGTTCAAGGTATTTTGATAGCTCTGAACTATATATTTTCATACAAGGTTTTCTGAAAAAGGTTTTCGAGAAATTGAATTTTGGCCATTTGTAAGTAAGTTCTCATAAAAAATAGTCCGTTATTCTGATTGTTCCCGCTTAAATGCTTTTTAATATAAAAACTAAGAGTTCTCTGTTCCATGCAAAGAAAATAAGTAGTGCATTCTCATCAAAGCAAACATCAACATATAATTTTTTTTTTTTTTGAAAATTTTTGTTTATAAATTTTTTATACTTTTTTTTTCGTATTTTATGGGTTTTTTTTTTAAATAGATTATAAAATTTGAAATTCGTAACCATTCATCATTCTTAACAGCATAGATACATATTTAACTCTCTCGCTCTCGCTCTCGCTCTCTCTATCTTTATCTCTCTTGATTTTAATAAACTTGCGTATCTTTTGAATGTTTATTACTGCCCAAGTTCTTAATATTTTTAAATATGACTTTAAAAATACAAAAATTATTGTTGAATTCGGTTTTTAGTTTTTTTGTTGTTTTTTTGATCTGTAGTTACTTGTTTTGTTTTTGAGATTTTACAGGAACTCATCTCGACTTGGATCTAACATTTATTCTAGTTATTGTGCTGCTGTAGATCTTATTGTTGTTGTTATTTATTTATTTAGAAATATATTTGGTTTAAAGATATACACAATGGATGTTGTTCTTGGTATTTGTTTTGGTTTGCAATATGATATTGAGATGACAATCGTTAACATTTAGTTGAGTTCCTCTTCCTCTTCTTATGCTTCTTCTTCGTCTTTCGTCCGGTCCAGAGGCTCCGCTCGGTGCCCCGCTTAATAGCCAGCCAATTCGGCGAACGTGGAGTCCATCTCGTCGGCCAGAGACTTGTATCTGTCCTTGTTGATGCCCAGCTCGTCTGCGAAACGAATATTAAAATTGTGCGTTATTAATTGGCTTGAAATTGTTTTTTTTTTTTTGTCAATAAAACGCAATGCAACATTTATTTGAACACATGAAACATAAGTCGTGTGCCACGGTACCAGCGGGTGGCTGTAAAAAACTGTAAGAAATCAAGTGTGACCAGTTAATTATTATTTGTTAGTGATGCGCTGTTTTGGCAAGCGTTTGATTTTATTTTTAATTTAGTATTTTTATTTACAAAAAAA